TTTTCTGAAGTTTGAGATGCATAACTACATAGAATTCGAAGTCGAATAAGCTGAGAATTCTGTAAATCAGCCGACCGGAGGCAAAACAAATCAATCTTTACTGTCAGAAAAGATCTTTGATCTCTTTAATCTTTGCCAAAGCTTTAGTGATAACTAATCTCTTGTCTTGTCTTAGTCTTGTCTTGTCGTAGTCTTGTCCTAGTCTTGTCTTAGTCTTGTCCTAGTCTTGTCTTAGTCTTGTCCTAGTCTTGTCCTAGTCTTGTCTTAGTCTAGTCTTAGTCTTGTCTTAGTCTAGTCTTAGTCTTGTCTTAGTCTTGTCTTAGTCTTATCTTAGTCTTGTCTTAGTCTTGTCTTAGTCTTGTCTTAGTCTTGTCTTAGTCTTGTCCTAGTCTTTTCTTAGTCTAGTCTTAGTCTTTTCTTAGTCTTGTCTTAGTCTTGTCTTAAAAAAATGCAAATCCTTTGAATTGAATCGAAAAAGACAATGAACTGTCCTCTGTCAATGACATCTTTCCCCATCACAATCCAATCTGTTGTAATGTTGTGTTCCCCTTTTCCTCTCAAATCATTTCTCTCAATCAATCCAATTTTTTTTTCCTTTTCCTTCCATTATTGTCTGCCATTTGTTATTCAATCTCTTTGCAATTTGCAATTTTTTTTCGATTTCTTTTTGAATTTCTTTCTCAATTTCTTTTTCAAATTCTCTTTTTCATTTAAATATTATTATATATTTAAATTAAATATTTAAATTAAATATTTAAATTCAAATCTGAAAACTTTAAAGAAACTTATCATTAAACAATTTCGATTTGAAAGATTTTCATCTTTATTAAACGTTTAATTGATTTGAATTGAAAGATTTTCAGCGAATACATACCGTATTTCCTCTAATAAACGCCCCCCTTGACCAACTTTGGATGCTTCGTTCTCAGCCCCATTTTGAGGTATTTTTATGTTTAATATATCAAAAGATAGCCCTTAATGTCTTCTATCTTTTGATATATTAAACATAAAAATATCTCCAAATGGAGCTGAGAACGAAGCGTCCAAAGTTGGTCAAGGGGGGGGCGTTTATTAGAGGAAATACGGTAAGAATTTCATTGTTTTCTTCTACAAAAGCTGAGAAATTGCCATTTTTTCGTTTCATTTCAGCTTATTGTAGCTTATTGTAGTTTATTGTAGTTTATTGTAGTTTATTCTAGCTTATTGTAGTTTATTGTAGTTTATTTTAGCTTATTCTAGCTTATTCTAGCTTATTGTAGTTTATTGTAGTTTATTCTAGCTTATTGTAGTTTATTGTAGCTTATTTTAGCTTATTCTAGCTTATTCTAGCTTATTGTAGTTTATTTTAGCTTTTTGTAGCTTATTTTAGCTTATTTTAGCTTATTCTAGCAATTTTCAGTACTCTGCAACTCTTTAAAATCTCTATTTTTCAGATTTTTTCAAACACGGGTCAACCAACGCGCATTACTATTGACGTGAAGCCTTATCTTTGCTTGATTCAAAGAATTTCGACAAAGTTCTGACTACTGCTTGAGTGCCAGCCGATACTGAACTCGAAGCTCGGCTTTTATATGATTTGGAACGGACGGTGAGTTGTGAGCGGCTTGTAAAACGTGTCGAAGACTATCGTAACCTTTTACTGGGCTTTAAGCACAAGACTTTAGTACAAGGCTTTAGTACAAGGCTTTAGCAAAAGACTTTAGTACAAGGCTTTAGCAAAAGACTTTAGTACAAGGCTTTAGCAAAAGACTTTAGTACAAGACTTTAGTACAAGACTTTAGTACAAGGCTTTAGTACAAGACTTTAGTACAAGGCTTTAGTACAAGGCTTTGGTACAAGACTTTAGTACAAGACTTTAGTACAAGGCTTTAGTACAAGACTGGAACCATAAAGATTGAGTACAATAACTGCACTGTACAGTACAGTAGTCCGAAGTAGTCCGAAATAGTCCAATAACCAAATAACAATTTCAAAATGCCATTAATCATGTTTACGGTGAGGGATATTGTAGCAAAAAAGAGACAGCTCTTTCAAGTATTCTATCAACCAGAGTCTAAAGTCAAAACTTGAGGAATCTAGCTTGAAAACTTAAGATTTCTGGCCTAGCTTTTCCATTCTTGAGTCTAAACAGAACCAAGAAGAAGCCTAGCTTGAATCCAGCTTGAAAGCGTAAGATTTCTGGTGTAGCTTTTTCATTCTTGAGTCTAAACAGAACCAAGAAGAAGCCTAGCTTGAATCTAGCTTGAAAACTTAAGATTTCTGGCGTAGCTTTTTCATTCTTGAGTCTAAACAGAACCAAGAAGAAGCCTAGCTTGAATCTAGCTTGAAAACAAGATTTCTGGCGTAGCTTTTCCATTCTTGAGTCTAAACAGAACCAAGAAGAAGCCTAGCTTGAATCTAGCTTGAAAGCGTAAGATTTCTGGTGTAGCTTTTCCATTCTTGAGTCTAAACAGTACCAAGAAGAAGCCTAGCTTGAATCCAGCTTGAAAACTTAAGATTTCTGGTGTAGCTTTTCCATTCTTGAGTCTAAACAGAACCAAGAAGAAGCCTAGCTTGAATCTAGCTTGAAAACAAGATTTCTGGCGTAGCTTTTCCATTCTTGAGTCTAAACAATACCAAAAAAGCCTCAATTCTTTCAAGATTTCTCTCATTTTCTCCTCATCCTCACCCACTAACAGAAACGAAATGAATCAACAAAATTTTTCATTTCCCTTTTTCCCTGAAAGATAATCAATTTCGATCTCTTTACTGATTGTATTTTTAAACAAAATTTTACTTATCGTCAAGTTCTTGGTTGAATCTATACCCGTAAATACTGTAATAGTACCGCACCCCCATAAAGACGGTGCGGAGTGTTGCGTAGTCTAGCTTTGAACGAGTTTTTCTCGACACTGCTTTATGCTACAATGTTCGTTTTGGTATCAAAAAATAGCTGAAATTCAGGGCTATTTTTTCATATCAAAGACACATTTTTTGAAAGTACGGGCGCTTTGAAAAACAATGAAATACTAACTACGCGACTACGCGACTGTACGAGGGTGGTGGGGTACTATAAAAAACTTTTGCGACTACGCAACTGTACGAGAGGGGTACTATTACAGTATTTACGGTAAGTCATTAACCGGAATAGAATTCAATTCCTTTACAAATCATAGGCTCAACTATTACTTATTCTGGTTACAGCACTCCTTTAACTAGAGTCTGTTCAGGATTAGAGTCTGTTCAGGATTAGAGTCTGTTCAGGATCAGAGTCTGTTCAGGATCAGAGTCTGTTCAGGATCAGAGTCTGTTCAGGATCAGAGTCTGTTCAGGATTAGAGTCTGTTCAGGATCAGAGTCTGTTAAAGATATTACGATCAGAGTCTGTTATTACAGTATTTACGGTAGCTATATTTTATCGAAAAATCTCTAGGAAATGCTGAAATGCTAGATTTTCTATTAGCAAGATTTCAGGCCTCCATAAGTGAAAAAGTGATCGAGACACGCGGTGGGTGTGTGCATCGACGAACGAGCGTTGAACGAATGAGAGAGATTACGGTCGGTTTTTTTTTTTAAAGAGTCCATTTAGCTTAAAACAATCCTCAACTAGAGACAGTTTTATTGGAATTTGTTGAAATTGTTTTTCTGGAATACTTTGAGTACTATATACAGTACTTTAGCTAGAGTGCGATACTTTTACAGCTAAAGTACGGTACTTTTCCAGCTAGCGTCGATACTTTTCCAGCTAGAGTACAGTACTTTTCCAGCTGGGTACTTTTACAGCTAAAGTACGTACTTTTCCAGCTAGAGTACAGTACTTTTCCAGCTAAAGTACGTACTTTTACAGCTAGAGTACAGTACTTTTCCAGCTGGGTACTTTTACAGCTAGAGCAAGATCTCGCGGGTTCAATCCCGACTTCGGGTTTCTCTTTTGCTTTTTTCAAGGAATGGTGACTAGTATTCTTTCATAGCATTTGGCCGGCTCAGAGCTCAGCTAGTTGACATTTCCTTGTAAGAACCCCTAATTCCCTTGTAAGAACCCGACATTCCTTTGTAAGAACCCGAGATTCTCTTGTAAGAACCGACATTCCCTTGTAAGAACCGACATTCCCTTGTAAGAACCCGAGATTCCCTTGTAAGAACCCGAGATTCCCTTGTAAGAACCCGAGATTCCCTTGTAAGAACCCGAGATTCCCTTGTAAGAACCCGAGATTCCCTTGTAAGAACCCGAGATTCCCTTGTAAGAACCGAAATTCCCTTGTAAGAATCGAGATTCCTTTGTAAGAAGCCGAGACAAGGGAATGTCGGTTCTTACAAGGGGTTCTTACAAGGGAATCTTTTATGTTTAAAACAATATCAATAGTTTCGCAATGATGATTGACTTTTGTACTTTGGCTTTTCACTGCTAGACATTTTTGAGAGAAACCCGGCAAGTGGTCGGTGTTTTACAAATAGAAAAGAAAGAAAGAAAGAAAGAAAGAAGGAAAGAAGGGAAGAAAGTAGGGAAGAAAGAAGGGAAGAAAGAAGGGAAGAAAGAAAGAAGGAAGGGGAGAAAGAAAGAAAGAAAGAAGGAAGGAAGGGAAGAAAGAAAGAAAGACAGTAAAGGGAAATGTTCAAGAGATGAGTTCATCAATGGGATAAAAGACCTAGAAAAGTTGCAATTCTTGAAGATTTCTGAAGTCAAACACCTCGTTTTTGATATCTAAAGTGTTTTGAATAGATTTATGTTGAAGTTTATGATTAAATCTGTAAACAAACCCCATCTAGCGCACGGGATTCTTAACTTTTCTCATGACAAAAGCAAGAAAACGAGGAATTCTGGTGTGTTTACAGATTCGAGATTCGATTCGAGAACAAAGTAAATCAAAAGGCTACTCTTTTCTTTGATTTATCCACTATTTGTTACCTATACAGCTGTGCACAGAAAAAAGTACAATTTCAGCCGAAAATTTTCGTTTACTAATGTATTCAAAATGTTTTTATGATATTTTTCTATTGCTTTCTTTTTTCAGACTTTCGAAAATGGAAGTCACCAATGAAAATCCGGTGAAAGGAATGAGGGATTTGAAGAAAATTGTCGAAGAAAAGGTTTGCCGAGAAAATCAGCTTTTTTTTCTAGATTTGATTTACATTTGAGTCACTGTTTTGGCTTAGTTTTCCATTGACTTTACATGGCTAGGAATTTCATTTGATTGATTTGATTGATTTGATTGATTTGATTCATTTGATTGATTTGATTGATTTGATTGATTTGATTCATTTGATTGATTTGATTGATTTAATTGATTTGATTGATTTGATTGATTTGATTCATTGATTCATTTGATTGATTTGATTGATTTGATTGATTTGTTTGAGTTGATTGATTTGATTCATTGATTCATTGATTCATTTGATTCATTTGATTCATTTGATTCATTTGATTCATTTGATTGATTTGATTGATTTGATTGATTTGATTGATTTGATTGATTTGATTGATTTGATTCATTGATTCATTTGATTCATTGATTCATTTGATTCATTTGATTCATTGATTCATTTCTTTTCATTTCCTAGACAAATCATCGCAAGTAGAGCACTCTGTCTGAGCTCAAGAACGGCTAGATTAACTAGTACATCTAGTACAACTAGTACACGATCAGATTTCCCAATTCGATCAAATCCGAACAAAAACTAGATCATTTACGCAAGTCTGACATGGAAAACATGATGCTTTGCATTTTTATTTGCATTTTAGATGCTCAGAACAATGTTTTACAAATGAATCCAATACAAGCTAAATACTAGAGCTAGATACTCAAAAAAAACTACTCAAAATTCAAATTTACTTCTTAAAACTGAAATAAGAAAATTAAATGAAAAAATTGACCCAAGGGGAATCGAACCCGGACCATCGGGACCGGGGTGAAGACTGCGAGACCGCGACACTACCACTGCGCCAACGAGTCAGTTGGTTGCTGACCGTCGGTGGCCGTTAAAAAGCGGTGGCCGTGGCACAATGTGTCACAATGGCAGACACAATGGCTACCGTCGGCTTTTTAACGGCCACCGACGGTCAGCAACCAACTGACTCGTTGGCGCAGTGGCATGCTTTCGCATGCAAATTTTCGTATCGTATGCATTAAACGTTGCAGACGATCTCCAAAGTTTTTCTCTGCAATTCGATCAGAGAAAAAGACCAAACGAAATTTATAAGTGGAAATTGCCAACCAGAAGATTTAAAAAGGAAATTGCCAGTCCAATTTCTACTCTGGCCCTTTCTACTCTGGCCTTTTCTATTCTCATTTTTCTTTTGGCTATTCATTCCTCTTTCAGCTTTTCTCTTTTTAATAAACCCTTTTTCCACATTTTTTCCAGCCTTTTGACGTATTTTTTCGCAATTTCACAATTCCTTTTTTAGATAGCAACTCTTGTTAAAGCAAGCTTTGCGTTCTTGAGAATTCTAGTTGAGTTTTGGAGAATTCTAGTTGGTTTTTAAGCATTCTAGTTGAGTGCTTGAGAATTCTAGTTGAGTTTTAAGCATTCTAGTTGGTTTTTAAGCATTCTAGTTGAGTTTTAAGCATTCTAGTTGAGTTCTTGAGAATTCTAGTTGAGTTTTAAGCATTCTAGTTGAGTTCTTGAGAATTCTAGTTGAGTTTTAAGCATTCTAGTTGGTTTTTAAGCATTCTAGTTGAGTTTTAAGCATTCTAGTTGAGTTCTTGAGAATTCTAGTTGAGTTTTAAGCATTCTAGTTGAGCTTTAAGCATTCTAGTTGAGTTCTTGAGAATTCTAGTTGAGTTTTAAGCATTCTAGTTGAGTTCTTGAGAATTCTAGTTGAGTTTTAAGCATTCTAGTTGGTTTTTAAGCATTCTAGTTGAGTTTTAAGCATTCTAGTTGAGTTCTTGAGAATTCTAGTTGAGTTTTAAGCATTCTAGTTGAGCTTTAAGCATTCTAGTTGAGTTCTTGAGAATTCTAGTTGAGTTTTAAGCATTCTAGTTGAGTTCTTGAGAATTCTAGTTGAGTTTTAAGCATTCTAGTTGAGTTCTTGAGAATTCTAGTTGAGTTTTAAGCATTCTAGTTGAGTTCTTGAGAATTCTAGTTGAGTTTTAAGCATTCTAGTTGGTTTTTAAGCATTCTAGTTGAGTTTTGGAGAATTCTAGTTGGTTTTAAGCATTCTAGTTGAGTTCTTGAGAATTCTAGTTGAGTTTTAAGCATTCTAGTTGAGTGTTTGAGAATTCTAGTTGAGTTTTAAGCAATCTAGTTGGTTTTTAAGCATTCTAGTTGAGTTCTTGAGAATTCTAGTTGGTTTTAAGCATTCTAGTTGAGTTTTGGAGAATTCTAGTTGGTTTTAGGAACTTAAAAGCTTAAGAAAAGTACTATTTTTATAGAATTTTTGTTATTTAAACAATTTTATCTTTAAAACAATCAATTCTCAAACGATTTATTCTTAAAAAATGAAGAATTATTTAGAAATTTAAACGATTTTTGTCATTTAAACGATTTTTTTCATTTAAACGTCATTTAAACGCTTTTTTTCATTTAAACAGTTTCTTTGGAATGATTTTTTGAAAATGAAAATGAAAATGAAAATGAAAATGAAAGAATTCAGTGCAATGGAAAGGTTTCTTTTGGGTTTTCGACCGCAAAGTGAACTAGTTAAGCTAGCTAGCTTTACCTAGTACCTAGACTAGCTTTACCCATTAACAACTTCATTCTAAATCTAAACCCATTAAACTTTCGTTTCAATTCAGCTTTATTTCCTTAGGATCTGAGGAAATTCACTCAAAAAGCCAAAAAGCCGAAAAAAACGAAAGAAAACGGCTTGTTTACCTTTCACTGATCTTTCAAAGAGAAAAGAGAACCAGACAAAACCTCTTCACACGTGTCTTTCACTCCCCATCTTTCTCTGTTCCTCTCAAAGAAGCTTCATTGATTCCCTTGAGATCCCTTGAGTTGTTTATTTACTATTTCTGCATTCATATCTGTTATCTAGACTAAAAATTAGAACTTTAACTTCAACTTTTAATGTTTTTTTGTATTTTAGATAGAAAATCTTCTGGCTTTAATGATTTTTGATAGTTGAATTCTGTTTTTGAGAGTTCTTTCGAAATTCTTTCAAACTTCTTCCGTTTCTTTCGAATTTCTTTCGAAATTCTTCCGTTTCTTTAAAGAACTTCTTTCGTTTTAAGGCAACTCGAGCAAAAGGAGCGTTTCAAATAAGTGGACAAACTTTGATTTTCTATAACTTTGTCTAGAGATTATATTATTCTAAACTTTTTATATCATTGTAAAGAGAACATTTCAGGCTTTCTAATGATATCTAATAGAGCTTGATTGGACTTTTCATTCCCATGGAAATAAGGCATGGTGGCGTGAGTGGTGCTTTTGTGAGTGGCCAACTTTAAAGCTCTATAACTTTACCCATAGAGCAACTTACTCTTAGCTTTTTATATCATCGTAACAAGGACATTTCAGGCTTTCCAATGACACCAAATATATGTTAATTTGATAATCCAATCCAGGGAAATCAAAGCTAACAAGGAACCAGTGTCCGAGTCAACTCGGATGCTGTATTGCTTGATTTTTCTGGACTGGATTATCCAATCAAACTGTATTTAGAGTCATTAGAAAGCCTGAAATGTCCTTGTTACAATGATATAAAAAGCTAGGAATAAGTTGATCTCTGGGCAAAGTTATAGAGCTTTAAAGTTAGCCACTCACAAAAGCACCACTCATGGCCACTCTCAAAAGCACTACGCCTTATTTCCATGGGTCCAATCAAGCTCTATTAGATATCATTAGAAAGCCTGAAATGTTCTCGTTACAATGATATAAAGAGTTCAGAATAATATAATCTCTAGACAAAGTTATAGACTATCAAAGCTTGGCTTCATTCGAAGCTTCATTCAAAATGGCCAATTTTTTCAAAAAATCCTCCCTTTTCCCTTGTTTACCTCAGCTTTTGTCTTTTTTGTCATTTTCCCCAAATTTCTTCATTGTTTACCATTTTCACGAACAATTTTCTTGCTGCTTCATCAATTTTTTAATTTCTTTTCTCATTTTTCGTTTCGAACGTTTTTCTTCATCATTTGAGCTATTTTGAGGATAGCTAATTGGCTAATTTTGGCCTAAATAACAGATGTTTTAAAGTTCAATTCAATTCAGAACTCTCTAAATTCTATATCAGAATTCTATATAATAATCCTACTCAAAGATCGGCCCAATTTCCCCCTTTTCCAGAAGAGAAATCTATGCTTTCCGTTCATTTCCGCAGCAATTTTGCTAAGCCCAATTTTCTTTCGGATTCTACGAAAACAAATATAGTCAAGGATCCGGAAAAAACTTTTTGCTTCTTGAGATAACTAGATTCAAGATAAATAGCGTTAAGCTAAATGGCTTTAAGTTAAATAACTAGCTTGAGCCTGAGTCTGAGCCTGAGTCTGAGCCTGAGCCTGAGTCTGAGCCTGAGTCTGAGCCTGAGCCTGAGTCTGAGCCTGAGCCTGAGCCTGAGCCTGAGCCTGAGTCTGAGCCTGAGCCTGAGTCTGAGCCTGACTTTGGGCACTAGAGCTTGGGCACTAGAGCTTGGGCACTAGAGCTTGGGCACTAGAGCTTGGGCACTAGAGCTTGGGCACTAGAGCTTGGGCACTAGAGCTTGGGCACTAGAGCTTGGGCACTAGAGCTTGGGCACTAGAGCTTGGGCACTAGAGCTTGGGCACTAGAGCTTGGGCACTAGAGCTTGGGCACTAGAGCTTGGGCACTAGAGCTTGGGCACTAGAGCTTGGGCACTAGAGCTTGGGCACTAGAGCTTGGGCACTAGAGCTTGGGCACTAGAGCTTGGGCACTAGAGCTTGGGCACTAGAGCTTGGGCACTAGAGCTTGGGCATCCTCCGGTACATAGACAATGTTTGTGTCCGAAAGAAGCGACTTTTCCTAGTTAGAGACATCCAAAAGAAGACACCTATCTATTGGGAGCGTGCACCAGAAGGCGAGCGATTATGCGCGCGCACAAAGGGCATCCTGCGCCTCGTCTACATAGAGCTTCTTTTGCTTTGTAAATGGCTCAAAAAGAAGATATTTAGCTAGAAATTTGTACCCAGGGGTTTTCAAGGTCGGTGAATCGATGGGAGATGTTAATTTTATCCAGTCTATCAATTGGAACTCGGATTTAATTGGTCTAACTTTTAGAGGACATTTTAGAGGACATTTTAATTGAAATTTCTTCAAACCCTTTATCACTCATTCCCTTTTTTCAATCAAATATTTGTTTAGCCTTAAATCCGGTCGATTTTTCAGCATTTCCCCCTGCTTTTTCTCCTTTTTCCTCGTTTTCTAGCAGAAATGCCCATATTTGCCTTTTTGTTGGACAGATTTGCCATTTTTTTTTGAGGAAAATTCACTTAAAGTTCAACTCTAAAGAAATTTTTAGGAAATTCTTGTTCTTATAATGATTTTTTGGATAAAAAAAACCCGTTTTTCTACAAATTTTTTAGCTTTTTCATTCATTTTTAGCTTTTTCTCCAAAGCTAACTCATCAATTCTATCCATTTTGCCATGATAAATAGCATCAAAGATAAATAAAACATCAAGCCCAGAATAGAGAGAATACATGTAATGTAAGCCCAACAATGTAAGCCTAAGCCCAACAATTTAAGCCACATTATACTTCAAACAGATTAGCATTGAGTTGATTAGCAAATAGCATCATCTAAGACTGCGATTACGTGCTCTGATCTTTCTTTCTAGTTACGATTCAACTCGGATGCTGTATTGCTTGATTTTTCTGGACTGGATTATCCAATCAAACTGTATTTAGAGTCACTAGAAAGCCTGAAATGTTCTCATTACAATGATATAAAAAGCTAAGAATAAGTTGATCTCTGGGTAAAGTTATAGAGTTTTAACGTTGGTCACTCACAAAAGCACCACTCATGGCCACTCTCAAAAGCACCACGCCTTATTTTATGGGAATGAAAGATTCCACGAGATTCCACACAGTTTAAGTGCAAAATGTTCTTCAGAAATGTCATCAAAACTCACTTAAAATGATCTGATGGGCTGAGCGATACTTAAAACTTTAGAAGGCTATATAAAAAAGTTGAAAGATTGAATCGATTAGATAACTGGCAGATTTATAGGAAAGATACTGAAGAATTATCAGCAGAAAAATCAAAACGATTGCAGCAATTTTGTTGAATCTAGGCGCTCTGAAGTGAGGCTAGGTTCTCTGAAGTGCGGCTAGGCCCTCTGGCTCTGAAGGCCTCTGAGGGCCTCTGAGGGGCCCATCCTGTAGATTACAAGGATTAAAAGTCCAGAAGATGTTCTAAAATTGTCAAAGAAGAATCTAAAATGCAAATTACACAAATAATCCAGCCGTTTTCCCTCTTTTTTTCATCCCACAAAGTCTCTCTGTTCTGATTTTCCCATAGCCTTTGTAAAGATGGACTCCTTTTCCCTCTCTTTTCCCCCCTTTTCTTCATCTTCCAATCGAAAAACAGACATAAAACATTTGGCCTCGATTCGAATTCATTTCCCTTTTCCCTTTTTCTCTTAAACTCTCTGGCTTTTCCTCAATCTTTTCTTTCTTATTCGATTATTCGATTCCATCGTTTTCAAACGGCAGATGGGAAGAGCAAAAGAGAGAAAAGAGAGAAAAGAAGTGTCCATAAACAACCAACAATAATTTCTTTTGTTTTTAATTGTTTATAGGAAGATTTCTAAGTGTTCTGTATGATTTTATGTATCGATTTTATCTATAGTGCTACGATATACCTTACAAATAGTACAAATAGTACAAATAGTACAAATGATAACTCTTTGATGTCAACTCTTTGATGTCAACTCTTTGATATCAACTCGTTTTTAAAGACTTCTATTATTTGCAGTCTCTTTGCTGTTGTTTATTGTTTCAGTCTGTTTGCAATTGTTTGCAAATTTACGAATTTTCATCAAATCTTGATCGATTTTCTTTGTGAAACGTTGAATTTTATAGAAAATTTGATTTCAAATCGAATGAGAGCTAATTAAACGCTTTTCAATAAAACCTGACCAAGGTAGGACTAGATTGGTAACGAAAAACGGGAGTTTAGATCCTTGCAAACCATCCAGCAATTACTATCACCAATTCTTTCAACGTTTTCTTCCCAATTTCCCCCAATTTCCCCCGATTACTGCAATTTCTTAGCCATATAATTGCCCAAAAAAACTACTAAACCTGTTTTTTCAGTTGTCGAATGGGTCAATCGAGCGAATGGATGAACAACACCGAGACACCCAAAAGCGACAACTTTTGCACGATGATGAAAGTGATCAGAAGCGACAGCGGAAGAGAAAGGGTCAGTGTTGGAAAGTATTGCAGAACTTGCACTCTAGAAGGTACTCTAGGTACTCTAGAAGGCACTCTAGGTACTCTAAAAGCTGAGTTCTAGAAGATGAGAGTCAACCAGTCAGTCAGTCAGCCAGTAAACCAGTCAGTCAGTCAGCCAGGCAGTCAGTCAGTCAGTCAGCCAGTAAATCAGTCAGCCAGTCAGTCAGCCAGTAAATCAGTCAGCCAGTCAGCCAGTCAACCAGTCAGCCAGTCAGCCAATCAACCAGTCAGCCAGTCAGCCAATCAACCAGTCACCCTTTCTCCTGCAGTAAGGCCAGCTTAATGCCAGCTAGTCAAAGCCAGAATCAGAAACCTAATCTTACCCTCGATAAAAATTGCTTTTGAATAAGGATGAAGGAAAAGGATCAAGCCATCTGATAAGGGAAGATCAACTGGATATGCTGACCAAATCACATAGACCATTCGACGCAGAATTTCACGCTGATCATGATTTCTTTTTTGTTACGTGATTTGGTCAGCACATCTAGTTGATCTTCCCTTGTCAGATTGCTTGATCTTTTTCCTTCTTCCTTCTTCCATTTTTTTATCAAGAAAGGCAAGATTAGGTCAGTAGACAGGTTCTGGCTTTGCCTAGCTGGCTTTAACCTTGCCTTACTGCAGGACAAAGGCTGACTGGTTGACTGGTTGACTGGTTGACTGGTTGACTGGTTGACTGGTTGACTGGTTGACTGGCTGACTGGTTGGCTGGCTGACTTAACCAGAAGCCAGGGCAAGCCTGGAGCTAGCTGACTTGATCTGGCTTCACTATAACACAAAAGGTTCATAGAGCCTAGAAGCCGGCCTAAGCCAAAACCGGACTCCGGTACTTGGTCAGCCAGTATTTTACCCAAAATGTCTTCCAGAAGCCAAGGCTGGATCTATTGATACAAATTGGACAATTTCTCGCTGGCTTTCTGGCTTGACTTTGATTCCAGATCTTATAAACCCTAGCTAGAACATTCCTGTTCATGTTTGTGACCAAACTTGGATTCAACTTAATAAAGTAAAGTAAGAACTGGCAAAAAAAGTTACCGGGGAGGGGAATCCTCGACTAAAATCCTCGACCTTTTGCTTAGACCAAATGCTTTAATCACTCAGCTATCTGGTCTGGAAAAGAAAGAGGAAATAGAGGAAGAGAAGGAAGAAAGAGAAGGAAGCAAGCAATGGAATTCAAGCTATTATTTTACCGTTTCTATCTATCTATTGATACAAATTTGTCTAGTTCAATCATTTCTAGACACTCGAGCGATGAGACGATCGAGGGAAATGAAAAGAGATGAGGAGAGACCGGTCGATGTTGATGATGTCGATGAGAAACGATATTCTGGTTATTCTTTAGTCAACTTTAGTCAACAGTAATCAACTTAATCAATTTTCAATTGGTAATCTGGCTTTTAGATTACTCGAAGTCGTCACGCTCGAGGCAAACAAGCGCTCGCGATTCGTCGGTGAGCCCAGTTGAAGCAGTTCTATCAAAAGTGAGCTTAAAATTAACGTTTTCCTCTTGACTTTCTATCTATTAGATATTAGATTAGATGCTAATTGATTAGATGAAAATTGAAATCAAATGTAAACTAATGATGTAATTACTGTAGTTTTCTAAAATAGATGTTTTTTAGGAGGCTTTAGACTGACTTTAGACAGACTAGAAGACTAGAAGGCTTTAGACTTTAGACTAAGAGACTTTAGAGCTTAGGCTTTAGATTAGAAGACTTTAGACTAAGAGGCTCTAGACTTTAGACTAAGAGGCTCTAGACTTTAGACTAAGAGGCTCTAGACTTTAGACTAAGAGGCTCTAGACTTTAGACTTTAGACTAAGAGACTCTAGGCTTTAGACTTTAAACTCTAGACTTAGACTAGGAGACTTTAGACTTTAGACTAGGAGACTCTAGGCTTTAGACTTTGGACTCTAGACTTAGACTAGAAGGCTTTGGACTTTGGACTCTAGACTTTAGACTAGGAGACTCTAGACTTTAGACTTTAGACTTTAGACTCTAGACTTAGACTAGAGGACTTTAGACTCTAGACTTTAGACTAGGAGACTCTAGACTTTAGACTAGAAGACTCTAGACTTAGACTAGAAGACTTTAGACTCTAGACTAGAAGACTCTAGACTTAGACTAAGAGACTTTAGACTTAGACTAGGAGACTCTAGGCTTTAGACTTTAGACTCTAGACTTAGACTAGGAGACTTTAGACTTTAGACTAGGAGACTCTAGACTTAGACTAAGAGATTTTAGACTCTAGACTTAGACTAGGAGATTTTAGGCTTTAGACTAGAAGACTCTAGACTTAGACTAAGAGATTTTAGACTCTAGACTCTAGACTTTCGACTAGGAGACTCTAGGCTTTAGACTAGAAGACTTTTAGACTAGCTTGCAATCGATCTACCATCTAGAATCTAGATCTAAACAATCTAGATCTAATCTAGAATCTTTTCAACATCTTTTAGAGATCCAATCAACTCCCTTGGGTTGAGAACGTTGATGATGATGAGACTTTGGTGTTGCATGGCCGGCATCAACTCGACGAAATGCTCAACCCATTGGCGCCTTTGCAAATCTCTGTACAAGTTGATTTCACACACGACGAGGATGAGCAAAATGAGAACGATGAAGAGGAAGGACTCGTGTTCAACTTAGGTAGGATATTGTGTTGCTCTCGTTTTCAAAAACGTTTCCAAAACGTTTCCAAAACGTTTCCAAAACTTGTCAACTTTCTCGACTCCCATAATCTTCTCTATTTTATCCAATTCTATCTTTTCTATTGGGTTGGGGAGAATGAGTCGGCGCCGAAAATCAAAAAAATGTCTAAAACTTCTATTCGACTTCGTCAAATAATATGCGTTTGATATGAGTAGAATGGTTAACTAATTCTCTACAAAATGACATTTAAAAGAAAATTCAAACAGCGCCTCCGCTCAAGAAAAAGGCATTTTTTCACAAAAACTACAAACTGTCATCTAGAAAAAACCATTGGTGGGATCTTCCTGCAAATTTGGCAACTTAAGTAATTGAATGTGCTCTATCTTTTTTATATAAACACCAAAGAAGGTTTATGTGAAAGAAACTGTTCAAATGATGAGTCGGACTCTTTGCCACTTTGACTAGCTGTGTTTGGGAGTCCATAAACTCCATGAAAGAAAAGCTTTGTGGAATCTCTCAAAAGTGATTTTGTAGAGAAATAGTGGATCCTTTTGATGAAACCAAACGTATATTTAAAGAAGGCGTTATGTGTGCAAAAAGTCCCTTCAAAGTTTGGCGCCGAGTCATAGTCCCCAACCCAATAGTTCCCCATTGAGCTTAGGGTTAGGGAGCCTGTCATGTCATGACGTGGGTTAAGTTAAGATATAGCCTAGTATTGTGTGTGTCGTTGTATTGTGCAAAAAGTGTGCAAAAAGTCCCTTTAAAGTTTGGCGCCGAGTCATAGTCCCCAACCCAATATCTTTCAAAATCATTTCTGAACTCAAAGAATTAGATCAAATGGTTTTAAAGAGATAGTTTTAAAAAGATAGTTTTAAACAGATAGTTTTAAAGAGATAGTTTTAAAGAGATTTAAGCAAGAAAGTAAGGAGATCGAGATCTTGGAGATCTTGGCCTTAGATCTTAAGGAAAGATAAGATCTTAAGGAAAGATAAGATCTTAAGGAAAGATAAGATCTTAAGGAAAGATAAGATCTTAAGGAAAGATAAGATCTTAAAGAAAGACTTAGTCTTTTATACGATTTTCCTCTTTTATCTTTACAAAACTAAAGAAATGCCAAGGAAATTGACATTTATTCTGTTTCGGTTGACGGGTAAAGATGAGAATATATTGTTTTAACTTTGGATAATCAGATAAGTCCATTAGATAAGTCCAGTTAGATAAGTCCATTAGATAAGTCCAGTTAGATAAGTCCAGTTAGATAAGTCCATTAGATAAGTCCAGTTATGCTGAAAGTCAAGTTATTATTAAGTTATTGCAACAGGAATCTATCTATTTACTGCCACTTTTCAGCAATACCACAATCAACTCTACCCCCCGGTGAATCAATTGATCATTTGCCACCAAACACTCTTGATAATGGGGACGCCGATGGGGAAAGTGATCGAGAATTCCGAAAGAAACGCAAGAAGAACAAGAGACGAAGACTGTATTCGGGTGGGTGAGGGGAATTGGGTAGAAGGGTAGAAGGGTAGAAGGGTAGAATTCTGTAGGTTGATTAGTACAGATCAATGACAGCCATTAGGCTATGATACAGTACGTATCATAGCTATGATACAGTACGTATCATAGCTATGATACAGTACTTATCATAGCCTAATGGCTGTCATTGATCTAAATAGCTCGAGCTTTGCAATGAGGCTAAAGCTGGGAACTGGAATAGGACAAAAATGCATATTGTAGTGAACTATAGTTACAGTACTAGAGCTACAATAGTTACGGTACAGTACAGCTACAGTAAGCTACAGTAAGCTGCGGGACAACTACAAGCCATTACAGGCTACAGTAAGCTGCAATAGAGCTACAGTAAGCTACAATACAGCTACAGTAAGCTACAGTACAGCTACAGTAAGCTACAGTAAGCTGCGGGACAACTACAAGCCATTACAGGCTACAGTAAGCTACAGTACAGCTACAGCAAGCTACAGTAAGCTACAGTAAGCTGCAGTAAGCTGCAGGCCAACTACAAGCCATTACAAGCTACAGTAAGCTGCAACGCAACTACAGTAAGCTGCAATACAGCTACAGTAAGCTACAGTACAGCTACAGTAGGCTGCAGTACAGCTACAATAAGCTGTAAGACAACTACAGTACATTGCAAGCTACAAGCTAAATAAGAGTAAGGATAAACTTTCTAAAGTCCATTTCTTTACCCCAGCATTCTCAATGAATCACTCCATTTCCCTCCCGTTCATTTTTTTATCCATTTTCACGATCTTCTCCATTCTTTTCCATTCACTTTCCCCATTTCTTAAGACCCAATCCCCCAAATAAGTGATCGTCCCGATTCCTTTTTTCATCTCTTTTTCAGTCTCGAATCAAAATATTTGCGATTCTGATCTATTCACTTTTATCTTTTCCCTTCTTTCCTTCCTTCCTTTCCTTTCCCTCTTTCCTTCCTTTCCCTCCTTTCCTTCCTTTCCCTCTTTCCCTCTTTCCCTCCTTTTCCTCCTTTCCCTCTTTTCCTCCTTTTCTTCCTTTTCTTCCTTTTCCTCTTTTCCTCCTTTCCCTCAAGTCCTTTTAAGCAAATTCCGTTTTTTCGTTTTTTGGTGATCAGTTACTGATTGTTTGAATAGGTTACTGAAGGTTTCTCTTAGATTAAAGCTTGTACTTGACTCAATCTTCTCTAGCAATCTAGCAGAACACCATTTCTGCACTTGATTAATCAGATCAAGCATCTATATGCCTGCAGCTGGACAAGACCAGAAGCAGGCTTCTATCTGTCTGCAGGTTCTAGGCCTCGATTCTATTTAGGTTGATGCAAAAGTCTTTTTCATTTTTTTCGTACTTCTTTTGAAAAATAACAAAGTCATCAATTAACCTATGGTTTGCTCTAAATGAAAAGTGTTTATTGTTGAATTTCCCATCTTTTTAAGTCAATTTGGGTTCACTTTCAAGCAAATTCGAGAGTGAAAACGGGTTTTTCATAAAAATCGATAAAAAACCTCTATAAAGAAATTGGCTGAATCAATTTCTCTGAAAATCTGCAAAAAATATCGAACTTTTTGTGCTCTATCTTTTATTTATTAACATCAAGATTGGTTTCCTTAGCTAAAGCGTCTAAAATGCATCATCGAGCCGTCGCCTTTTTTGACTACCCGACTTCAGGCTCTCAAAAAAATCTAGACATAAGACATTTTAAACTCGTTTTAATGTCATTTTGCAGAAAAATAATTGGCCTTTCGAATGCAATAAACCGTTGTTCAATTGGTGCATTTGTTACTTTTTAACGGAAGTACGAAAAAAATGAAAAAGACTTTTGCATCAACCTAATAGATAAACTAGATTCTAGATAAACTAGCTTCTAGATAGACTAGATTCTAGATAAGCTAGATTCTAGATAAGCTAGATTCTAGATAGACTAGATTCTAGATAAGCTAGATTCTAGATAAACTAGCTTCTAGATAGACTAGATTCTAGATAAGCTAGATTCTAGATAAGCTAGATTCTAGATAAACTAGCTTCTAGATAGACTAGATTCTAGATAAGCTAGATTCTAGATAAACTAGCTTCTAGATAGACTAGATTCTAGATAAACTAGCTTCTAGATAGACTAGATTCTAGATAAACTAGCTTCTAGATAGACTAGATTCTAGATAGACTAGATAGACTCTAGCCTACTCATCTCTGTCATATCAACAATTTCTAGACCATAGCCTTGTCCTAGTCCTAGCTATTCGTTTAGATTTGAGCTTGTCAAAGCTTGTTAAAGCCTAGTTTCTTTACGATAAACTCAGCTCAAACTTTAAGAGAGATCAAGAACTGTTATGTCAATTGATTTCTCTTGTCAAAGCCGAGTTTCTTTGCGATAAACTCAGCTCAAATCTTTAAAAATCTCTCCTTTCTCAATTTTCCAAAACAAAAAGAGCTTCCCATCAGAGAAATCCATTGACGTAACAGTTTTTGATCGCTCTTTAAAGATATTTGAGTGATAGGCTTTGATTACGATAAAAGATAGGATTTGATTATCATAAACGATAGCCTTGATGGCTTCAGTTGGCTTTGATTGGCCTTGGTTGGGTTTAATTGGCTTTCGTTGGCTTTGATTAGTTTTGATTAGCTTTGATTAGTTTTGGATTGTCTTTGATTGCCTTTGGTTGGCCTTAATTGGCTTTCGTTGGCTTTGATTAGCTTTGATTAGTTTTGGATTGTCTTTGATTGGCTTTAATTGGCTTTGATTAGCTTTGATTGGCTTCAGTTGGCTTTGGTTGGCTTTGGTTGGCTTTGATTGGCTTTAATTGCCTTTGATTGGCTTTGGTTGGCTTCAGTTGGCTTTGGTTGGCTTTGGTTGTCTTTGATTGGCTTTAATTGGCTTTGATTAGCTTTGATTGGCTTCAGTTGGCTTTGGTTGGCTTTGGTTGGCTTTGATTGGCTTTAATTGCCTTTGATTGGCTTTGGTTGGCTTCAGTTGGCTTTGGTTGGCTTTGGTTGTCTTTGATTGGCTTTAATTGGCTTTGATTAGCTTTGATTGGCTTCAGTTGGCTTTGGTTGGCTTTGGTTGGCTTTGATTGGCTTTAATTGCCTTTGATTGGCTTTGGTTGGCTTCAGTTGCCTTTGATTAGCTTTGATTGCCTTTGATTAGCTAATCCAAGCCAACAAAAGCCAATCAAAGCCTTTGATTAGCTTTGGATTGCCTTTGATTGCCTTTGATTGTCTTTAATTGCCTTTTATTGCCTTTTATTGACCAAATGTCCGCGTTTTCTAAAAGCCACCTAAAACTACCGTAATCTGATCACCAGTTTACACTGAATGAGCCAAATTTTGGTATGATTCGATGTGAAATTCGATGTTCGGCCAATGATACAAAAATTCGGCTAATCGGATGAAAGTTGACGGTTTAATTACGATAGTTTTAGATGTATTTTAGAAAAAAAAGACTCAAAAATCTTTCCGTCCAATCCTTTTCCTTCTTTTTCTTCATTTTCTTCTTTAATTTCACCAATCTCCATCCCTTTTTACAAATTGATCCCCATTTCCCCATTTTCCTTCACATCGAATTTTTTTGGGAACAGCTCTCAAATGATTGAATGATTGAGCGATAAATCCCCTTTTCTTTGGGGAAAATCCTTTAGAAATCCTTTAGAAAATGGCTCATTCTCGTATTTCGCGAAGATTTTTCCCACCCATTGTCACCTGGTCTCTAAACTCAGCGTTGAACAGCCAAATTTATGATTTTAGCTATCTTTTGCTTATATTTTGTTATATTTTGTTATATTTTGCTTATCTTTTACTCCATTATCTTAAGCTTTTCCCTTATTCAAATGTCCAATGTCTAGCGCTGTTCCAGTCTTGTTTTCTAGGTTCATTTTGTGTTCAAAGCTGTCAAAACACTACTTCCAGTAAGACTCTTTCATAGAAAATCTTCGGTTTTGAATTTGTCAACCATTTGCCAACCAAAATCAATTTCTCAACCATTTTTTAACCTCTTCTTCAGCCATTTTCAAAGTGTTTGTTTACCAATTGCTCATCGAATAAGTAGCAAGCAGAAGGTGCAAGATCAGAGCTGTAGGATGGACCATCACCTCCCATCCAAGTCATCAAGAACGTCACCTTCGAAAAATGCGAACTAGCATGATTAATGGTTTTACTCTTTGAGGTCTTTCTCTGGATTTTGTCTGGAATTGTTAATCGTTCTCTTTGTCATTTGTCAAGTTGCTTCGAGTATTTGATTGAGGTCTTGCTATCCAAAGGTTCCTAGTAGATAGGCTCTTACAAATCCCAGAGTGCCGAGAGCTTCTCATGCACATTTGGCTTGGCTTAGGCTTAGGTTTAGGCTTAGGCTTGGTTCAGGCTCAGGTTTAGGCTTAGGCTTGGTTCAGGCTCAGGCTTAGGCTTAGGCTTAGGCTTAGGCTTAGGCTCGGGCTTAGGCTTAGGCTTAGGCTTAGGCTTAGGCTTAGGCTTGGCTCAGGCTTAGGCTTGGCTCAGGCTCAGGCTCAGGCTTAGGCTTAGGCTTGGTTCAGGCTCAGGATCAGGCTCAGGCTTAGGCTTGGTTCAGGCTCAGGCTTGGCTCAGGCTCAGGCTCAGGCTTAGACTTAGGCTTGGTTCAGGCTCAGGCTTGGCTCAGGCTCAGGCTCAGGCTTGGGCTTAGGCTTGGTTCAGGCTCAGGCTTGGCTCAGGCTCAGGCTCAGGCTTGGGCTTAGGCTTGGTTCAGGCTCAGGCTTGGCTCAGGCTCAGGCTCAGGCTTGGGCTTAGGCTTGGTTCAGGCTCGGGCTCAGGCTCAGGCTTAGGCTTAGGCTTAGGCTTAGGCTTAGGCTCGGGCTTAGGCTTGACTCAGGCTTAGGCTTAGGCTTAGTCTTGGCTCAGGCTCAGGCTTAGGCTTAGGCTTGGACTTAGTGCGAAGGCTAGCGGCTAGCTCCTCGCACTAAGTCTATTTGGGTTTGGGCTGAACCCCCATTTTCTGGATCTCAGCCAGTTCTCGGAGCTAATTAGGCTTAGGCTTAAGCTTAGGCTCGAGCTGTCGTGTTCAGTCGTTTGTTGTCGTTTTCCCTCTCAGCAACCCAGGACCTTCTCTGAAAGTTGACAGTTAGAATCCATCTCCATTTTCTAGCAATAACGATTTCACAAAGAAAATGATCACTTAAGTGCTGCTTTTGCTAACTTTTCTAGCACAAAGTACCCTGAGAAGTTTATCTAGCTTTATCTATTTATCTTGATCTATCTATCTTTATCTATCTAGCTTTATCTATCTATCTTGATCTATCTATTTTGATCTATCTATCTTTACCTATCTATCTTTACCTATCCATCGTTTAAATCAAACAGCTAAAGTTTATTTGATTGATTGTGAAACCGGTTCTGGCTCTTTTTACCACTTTCAAATCCATAAATCGAAATTTTTGATCAAACCCTTTGCTCTTTTCTTTTTCTATTTCATATTTCAAAGAAATCTTTTTGTGCAAAAGTTGATCATCTCTTTGCAGTCATTTTTCTGTCATTTCGCAATCGTTTTCACCATGAACTCATCCCTCAAGGAAAATTTCCTTAATTTGATGATTTTGTAAAGTTTTGGTTTAGATTTTAACTTTTACAGCTCTTTTGACAGTTTTGTAACAGTTTTTAGGCTCGATGACAGTTTTATAAGGGTTTTAAAGCTCTATGTCAGAGAGCTGGCTCTCTGACAGTTCTCTGACAGTTTTTAAAGTTCTATATTAGTTTTAAAGCTCTCTGACAGCTCTCTGACAGGTCTCTGACAGTTCTCTGACAGTTCTCTGACTGTTCTGACAGCTTTTAAAGTTCTATATTAGTTTTAAAGCTCTATACCAGCTCTCTGACAGTTCTCTGACAGTTCTCTGACAGTTCTGACGGCTTTTAAATTTCTATATTAGTTTTAAAGCTCTCTGACAGCTCTCTGACAGGTCTCTGACAGTTCTCTGACAGTTCTCTGACTGTTCTGACAGCTTTTAAAGTTCTATATTAGTTTTAAAGCTCTATACCAGCTCTCTGACAGTTCTCTGACAGTTCTCTGACAGTTCTGACGGCTTTTAAATTTCTATATTAGTTTTAAAGCTCTATACCAGCTCTCTGACAGTTCTCTGACAGTTCTCTGACAGTTTTCTGATACTTTTAAAAGTTCAACATCTCTAATAGCTCATAGATTCTTTCTTTATCAGGCCAAATGCCCCCATCTACACTCTACAGATCGAACTCTGATCCGGATATTATTAAAAGTGAGATATCAATAGTTTCCAAAGTTTAAAACAGTATTTCTGATGAAGAAATGTTGTAAAGGATTTAAATCTTTGGAAGTTTACTGTTAATAACTCTTAATAAGTTAATAACTGTTGGAATTTTGTTTAGAATTTCTACTTTTATCCTTTTTCAATTTGGAATTATGTCCAATCATTCCAGTTTCCAAAATCATTGAAATTGAAAAGAAATCATTGAAAAGTATCATTGAAAAGATGATATCATTGAAAAAAATGATATTATTAAAAAGAAATCATTGATAAATCGATCAAATTTCTTTACAAATCACAAAAACAAAAAGATAAAGATCAAGGATTTGAAGGAAAAGTTTGTAGTGTTTATCTAAGTTAGCATTTCCTTTCATTTAATTACTGACAGGTTAACTAGCAAGCTTAGGCTTAGGCTTAGGCTGGCTTAGGCTGGCTTAGGCTTAGGCTTAGGCTGAACCCCCATTTTCTGGATCTCAGCCAGTTCCCGGAGCTAAGGCACACCCGCTTGGCGATGCTCAAGCACCCCCCATAGGAGTTAGGCTTAGGCTTAGGCTCTGGAGAAAGTAGAAGAAGTAGAAGTAGCCTAGATCCAAGTATAAGATTATGTTGTATCTCTAGGCAGCATCGGCTCTGGAGGTTGGCGAGGTCGTGCAGTGAGCGGTCGATGGGGAGGATTGGTACCACCAGAAAATGTTCACACGAATGATTGGCGTGATATGATCACTCTAGCCGATGCCTCACCGAACACTGCCGGTTCTGGGAATCGAGGCGTTCATCAGGAGGCAAGTTTACTCAATTGGACTCCTAGGAGTATTGGTAGATTCTTCTAGGACTTCTAGGACTCTTCTAGGACTTCTAGGACTTCTAGGACTTCTAGGACTCTTCTAGGGCTCTTCTAGGACTCTTCTAGGACTTCTAGAACTCTTCTAGGACTTCTAGAACTCTTCTAGGACTTCTAGGACTTCTAGGACTCTTCTAGGACTTCTAGGACTCTTCTAGGACTTCTAGAAGGACTTCTAGGACTTCTAGAAGACTCCAAGTAATGCCCAAGTCAAGAAATTCAACTTCAGAGCCTTCCCAAAAAGCCAACGAGCGAGGGCGAGGCTCAACATACAGTGCCAGCTGGTGGAATAGCCGCTATCCAACACTGGCGATGGAGTGGATCGGATTTGGTTTGTATCGTAATCTTCAACGTTAATCTAAACTAATCAAACTACGACTTTGTTTCCCGAGATTCTCAAATCATAAAACTTTAGTCCCTCCAACGACAGCACTGGATCACGGAGACGTTTCTGCGACGAGAGTGCGCCAAGTTTTTACCCACGAATAAGGACCCTGGAAAGTGAGTGTTTGGGAAATTCAAACATATAAAAACTTTTTAAAGTTATCTATCTAAAGAGAATTGGCTTGGTTTGGTCGATCTGGATCCTAAAAAGTTCTTGGGTTCGTAAGACTGGTCCTAATTCTGGCCCTGATCCTGACCCTGGCCCTAATCCTGGTTCTGATCCTAGCCTTGATCCTGGTCCTGATCTTGTCCCGGGCTCTGATCCTGGCTCTGATCCTGGCCTTGATCCTGGCCTTGATCCTGACCCCGGCCTTAATCCTGGTTCTGACTCTGGCCCTAATCCTGGTTCTGATCCTGGCCTTGACCCTGGCTCTGATCCTGGCTCTGATCCTGGTTCTGATCCTGGCCTTGATCCTGGCTCTGATCCTGGCTCTGATCCTGGCTCTGATCCTGGCTCTGATCCTGGCTCTGATCCTGGCTCTGATCCTGGCCTTGATCCTGGTTCTGATGCTAGCCCTGTTCTTGGTCCTGATCCTGGCCCTGCTCCTGGTCCTGTTCTTGGTCCTGATCCTGGTCCTAATCCTGGTTCTGATTCTAGCCCTGAAGCTGACCTTGGTTACTCTAAACTCACCATTTCTACTACACTGAAATCTTTTCCTTGTGACTCTGGTTTTGACTCAGATTCTGATCCTGACGCTGGATGTAATTACTGAAATTTTTAACTGGTTTGAAGCCTATCATATCATTTCAGGTGTGGTTGTGGTCGTCTCCAATCGGATCACTATGATCTGGCACACTTGACCTCAACTTTTCTCTCGTGTCCAACCGATTACACTGATAAAGGGATTTTGCGAGAAGAAGATGAAGAGGAATCAATTGAGAAAACCCCAAAAGTTGAGGTTTGACTGAATTTGTTTATTGAAAATCATTTGTTTCAGCAAAAGTCGCAACCGGCGAGCAGAAAGCAACGCGGCTCCGGAGAGAGGTAGGTAGACGGGAGTACTTTCCTAAAAAGCACCCTTTTCTGTTTTGATCTGTTCTGTCTGTCTGTTCTGTTAAAATCTGTTCAAATTGTTTTCAGATGGAGCATCAAGAAGCACACGATGTGCCTGCCAACGAACGCTTTTGGACAAATCGAGTTTCAAGGTTGAGTTGTTGTGTCAAACTGGTTAGAACAATAGACTGGCTCTAGAATGGCTTTAGTCTAATCTAGCTCTAGAATGGCTAGTCTAGCTCTAGAATGGCTAGTCTAGCTCTAGAATGGCTAGTCTAGCTCTAGAATGGCTAGTTTAGCTCTAGAATGGCTTTAGTCTGATCTAGCTCTAGAATAGCTTTAGTCTGATCTAGCTCTAGAATAGGTTTAGTCTAATCTAGCTCTAGAATGGCTAGTCTAGCTCTAGAATGGCTAGTCTAGCTCTAGAATGGCTTTAGTCTAACCTAGCTCGCGTCTAGCCAAACCTAAAGACTATCATCCCAATAAACGAGAAGATTGTGGTACTGGCCTAGTGCTATTCTGTAACCTGGTAGCCTTAGATCAATCTGGTTCAATCTAAACTGGAAACTAAACTAGTCTGAGCTTGGTTTAGACCAAATCTAGACTAGCCTAGGCCTTGCTTAGGCTTAGGACTTGTCTAAGACTAAGACTTCTCTAAGACGAAGACTTGTCTAAGACTAAGACTTGTCTCTTAACTAACTCCAATCCTAAACCTTTCGAATTCCAGGCGCCGCTCATCCGTATCGAGCTCAATACGTGCGTCTCTCGTTTGACACCGATCCGGCGAATATTATGGGTCTTTTTGAGCAAGTTTGGGGCATTCAGCCACCAAAATTGATCATCACCGTGCACGGGGGAGTCTCGAATTTCGAGTAAGTGAAAGTGATTGATTGATTGATTGATTGTGGTTGATTAAAGCAATGATTTCTTCTTTAGTTTACAACAAAAACTAGCACGAGTCTTCCGAAAAGGTTTATTGAAAGCAGCAAAAACAACTGGAGCTTGGATTATCACTAGTGGAGTCGATTGTGGAGTGGTTAGACAAGTAGCTGCTGCACTAGAGGGTAAGTAGAGAGGGGAAGGACTGTGAGTGATGACTGGGACTGTGGCTGATGGCTGTCACTGTCCCTGTCGCTGTCACTGTCACTGATGACTGTCACTGTCCCCTGACTGTCACTGACAGTTGAAATTGTTAATTTCTAGGTTCTGGCTCAAGCTCGAGATCAAAAATCGTGACTATTGGGATCACGTCATGGGGATTGTTGAAAAAGAGAGAGGATCTACTGGGAAAGGTTGGTGATTTAGTTAGATAGACTTTTAGATAATAGGCATTGTAGAATTGTAGAATGTAGGCAGAATAGGCAACAATTCTACAGTGATAATAGGCAACAATTCTACAGTATTCTTTTAGGATATTGTTGTTCCCTATCATCCGCACTCATTCCACGCAAGATCGAGAACAGCTGTTCTCAACAATCGACACTCCTATTTTCTACTTGTTGATAATGGTTTGCTAGAGATTTGTACCTATTGTAGCTGATCTAGCTATAGCTAGATCTAGCTATAGCTAGAAAACCAGTTTTCCTTTCCTATTTTCCTTTTCTATTTTCCTTTTCTATTTTTCTTTCCTATTTCCTTGGAGTCTGTTGGACTTTTACTCCATCCAAATGACAGATTTATAAGACAGAATTTCTAGGAGAATCCAATGGTACTATTTATAGATCAATTTGAACTCTAGAAGTATGATTTATAAGCCCAAACTCCACGATTTCCTATAGAGCCGATCTAGCTATGGTTTGCTAGAAATGGAGTTGATAATGGTTGACTAGAAATTTGTCTAAAACCTATTGTAGTTGATCTAGCTATAGCTAGATTTAAAACCAGTTTTTGCTGGAATCCGTTGAACTTTCACTCCATCCAAATGAAACATTTACAAGTCAGAATTTCATGGAGAATCCAATGGTACTATTTATAGATCAATTTGAACTCTAGATGTATGATTTATAAGCCCAAACTCTACGCTTTCCTATAGAGCCGATCTAGCTAGAGAGAGAGAGTAGATTTAGATAACGAGATAGATAAAAACAGTTTTTCAACTTTACAGGCACCGTTGGTCGGTATGGAGCTGACGTCATATTGCGACGTCGTCTTGAAATGTACATTGCGCAGAAGCAGAAAATCTTTGGTGGCACTCGATCGGTCCCTGTTGTTTCAGTGGTTCTTGAGGGTGGCGCGTGCACGATTCGCACGGTGCTTGACTATGTAACGAAGTGAGTTTAAGAGCTCTACAGGCTTCAAGAGCTCTACAGGCTTCAAGAGCTCTACAGGCTTCAAGGACTGTACAAATTACAGTCTAGTACAGGCTACAGTCTAGTACAGGCTACTGTATTTGAAACCTAGACAAAATCAAGCCCTAAGGACACAAGAATACATAAATCCAGTGATTTCAGTGTTCCCCGAGTGCCAGTTGTAATCTGTGATGGATCAGGACGAGCCTCGGATCTTCTAGCCTTTGCTCATCAACATGTTCTGGAGGATGGGTGAGTTAAAGAGCTTGTTTCTTCATTTCTGAGTCATTTCTTAGAGATTGTCAGTCATTTCTGAGAGAAATTGTGCATTTGCTAAAGGAAAAAGCACAAACTGAATAGATAAAGTACAAACTGAATAGATAAAGCACAAAGTACAAGAGAATTGATAGCGATAAGGCTGATCGATCTCTAGGCTGACAGGCTGAGGCTGACAGGCTGAGGCTGACAGGCTGAGGCTGACAGGCAGAGGCTGACAGGCTGAGGCTGACAGGCAGAGGCTGACAGGCTGAGGCTGGCTCAAATGATCTCTAATCTCCAAAGAGCTCTACAAACTGTTCTATTATCTATTGTTCTATCAAGATCCTTTGCTGAACATGTCCGACTTCAACTCCTCTCACTAATTCAACGAACTTTCGCCTTCGATGAGCGATCAGCTGAGAAAGTTCTGCGTGAGTTGAGTATCTGTGCACAGCAAAAGGATTTGATTACGGTGAGTTTACAAAAGTACAAGTTTACAAAAGTACAGTAAACCCTTAAAGTGATTTGAGGCTTTCATTTGAGAATTTTAGGTATTCCGACTAGGAGAAAAAGGCGGAAAACACGATGTAGACTACGCGATTTTAACAGCACTGCTGAAAGGACAGAACTTGTCGGGACCTGATCAATTGGCTTTGGCGCTAGCCTGGAATCGAGTCGATATTGCAAAGAGTGACATCTTTGGAGTCGAGCAGCAACATGTATGTTCAGGAATTTCATCATTTCATTAGGATTTAAAGCCATTTTGTCTGGGCTAAGCCCTGCTCCAGTATATAGATCTTCTGGACTGGTTCAGACTTACTACAGGCATCTGGAGCTGACTTCTGGCATGGCTCTGATCCTTCTGGCCTGGTTCTGATCCTTCTGGCCTGGCTCTAATCTTTCTGGCCTGGCTCTGATCTTTCTTACCTGGCTCTGCCCCTTTTGGCCTGACTCTTACCCTTCTTGGCCTGACTCTTACCCTTCTTGGCCTGACTCTTACCCTTCTTGGCCTGGGTCTGACCCTTCTGGCTTGGCTCTGACCTTCTTGGCCTGGGTCTAACCCATCTGGCCTGGTTCGGCTTGGTGCCTGGCTCACCAGAAGCCAGACCTGAACTTGGCTTGGGCTAACCAGTCTTACACATATCTCTGACCTTGCCTGACCTGGCTTGCTAGCTTTGCTACAGAGAGTGAGGCACTAGTAGGGCACTAGAGCTAGAGCCTGCAGTGAGCCATCCTGAATCCAAGCTTAGAACTGGATCTGCCTTTTTGCTCTCCTGGTTTAGCTTACGGGCTCTCGAACATTCCTGGTCATGTTGTAGACAAAATCTTAACCTAAATTTTCTAGGCCTGGTCTCAAGCGGCTCTACACAACGCAATGATGGAGGCGCTCATTCACGACCGGGTCGATTTCGTGCGTTTGTTGATCGAGAACGGTGTAAGCATGCACAAATTTCTGAACATCGGCCGACTGGAGGAGCTCTACAATACGGTAAGGCAGACAGGCAAGATTTCTGTTTAATCTTGATCATTTTTGGAGTTACAAGTAGGGCTTCTGATTTCTGAGATTCAGACTGGTTAAAATTCGATAAATCTAGAGCTGAAGACTTTGAATACTTAGTTTTATCATTGAGACAGTAACCTGTAGTATTCTGAAGGGCTACAGTGGTTAAAAAGGATGCTGTAGCTATTCAACTAGTATCCTGAATGCCTACAGTGGCTACAAAGGATACTGTAGCTATTCAACTAGCTTATTTGAAGCATACTGTAGCCAAAAAGAGTACTATAGCTACAAAGAGTACTGTAGCTATTCAACTAGCCTACTGTAGACATTCTGTAGCTAAAAAGGGTACTGTAGCTATTCAACTAGTATTCTGAAGGGCTACAGTGGCTAAAAAGGGTACTGTAGCTATCTAACTAGTATCCTGAAGGCCTACGGTGGCTACGAAGGATACTGTAGCTAACTAACTAGTATCCTAAAGGCCTACGGTGACTAAAAAGGGTACTGCAGCTATTTAACTAGTATCCTGAAGGCCTACGGTGGCTACGAAGGATACTGTGGCTATTTAACTAGCCTACTGTAGCTAAAGGCGGTTACTTTTCAGGACAAAGGCCCACCCAATACCCTCTACTACATTGTGAGAGACGTAGTGAAGATGAGATCCGGATATCATTTCAAGTAAGTTAAAGGAAAATCTTGATTTCTAAGATCTAAGAGTTAAGATCTAAGAGCTAAGAGCTAAGAGCTAAGAGCTAAGATCTAAGATCTAAGATCTAAGAGCTAAGATCTAAGAGCTAAGAGCTAAGATCTAAGATCTAAGATCTAAGAGCTAAGATCTAAGATCTAAGATCTAAGATCTAAGATCTAAGAGCTAAGATCTAAGATCTAAGATCTAAGAGCTAAGATCTAAGATCTCATCTCTAATCTCCATATTACAGATTTAATTAAATCCTTTTATCTATTAGATTACCCCATATCGGGATGGCGATCGAGAAACTGATGGGAAACGCCTATCGATCAAATTACACAAGTCACGAGTTTCGCCAAAAATACAACGCTTTTTTAAAGAAGTTCAGGGTTAGTTTTATAGAGAAAATGATAGGTAATAGATAGACAAATAGATAGGCAATAGATAGATGAATAGATAGATAATAGCTTCTTTGACTTATTTTAGACCAGACGTCGTCCCGTGCCGGCCACCAAGACTCGAGTTGGGAGTGGAGGAATGTCTCGACAAGCCACTGAGCCCGTTCTGCAAATACCGGTCTGTTATGGAAAACTAAAGAATATCTATATCTAAATCTATCTAAATCTATCTAAATCTTCATTTAAATCATCTAAATCTATCTAAATCTTCATCTAAAGCATCTAAATCTTCCTCTAAATCGTCTAAATCTATCTAAGTCGTCCTCTAAATCATCTAAATCTTCATCTAAATCATCCAAATCTATCTAAATCTTCCTCTAAATCGTCTAAATCTATCTAAGTCTTCATCTAAATCATCTAAGTCTTCATCTAAATCTATCTAAATCATTTAAATCTTCATCTAAAGCATCTAAATCTTCATTTAAATCATTTAAATCTTCACCTAAATCATCTAAATCTATCTAAATCTTCATCTAAATCATCTAAATCATCTAAAGCATCTAAATCTTCACCTAAACCATCTAAATCATCTAAATCTATCAAAATCTTCATCTAAATCATCTAAATCATCTAAATCTTCATCTATTTACATATTATTCAAAAAAACTAAACAAATATATTCTACAGAAAATGCAAAGTCACATCACAGGCCGTCTGATGCCCGTGGTAAATTTTGACGTTGTTTGTCAGTGTTGTTTCTTCAATTTAAGCATTAATCGAATGGCTTTAAGGTTCAGAATGTTATCTAGAGAGAGATGTTATTGTTAAGTTTTATTATAATTGAATAAAGAACACTTGAAGCTTACGAAAGATAGCGAAAATCGAAAAAAAAATGTCAAGATTCGATTGATTCAGATTGGATTGATCGGATGACACTTTGGATTAATCTAATTTAGTCAAATCTTTGTTTTCTTGGCCTCTATTTGATATCATCTAAAAGCCTAAAAGATTCTTTATTTAACTATAAAAGAAGTTAATAGAAATATGAGCTCTGAAAAAAGTTATGAGGTTTTAAAGTCTAGATGGCACTTTGGATGGCAGATGGGACTTTAGATTAAGCTAATTTAGTCAAATCTTTGTTTTCTTGAGCTCTATTTGATATCATCTAAAAGCTTGAAAGATTCTTTATTTAACTATAAAAGAAGTTAATAGAAATATGATCTCTGAAAAAAGTTATGAGCTTCTAAAGTACACTCGTTCAAAATCTCGTTCAAAATTAGCCATGAACAAAATTAGATTCAGTTTTTTCTAGAGTTTTACATTCCGAATTAATAAATCTAAAAAGTGAATGGGTTTTTTTATTTGTTAAACAGTTAACTAAACAGTTAACTAAACAGTTAACTAAACAGTTAACTAAGCAATTAACTAAATAGTTAACTAAGCAGTTAACTAAGCAATTAACTAAGCAGTTAACTAAGCAATTAACTAAGCAGTTAACTAAATAGTTAACTAAACAGTTTTAAAGTTAACTTCTTTTAGACAATGAAGACAATGAATTTTAGACAATGGCAAGCGCTGAGCAACAACTTTCTGAGAACATGATGTCAGCCTTATCTGGCAGTCGAGCTTTATCAAATCACATCTTGTGGAGGAGTGCTTTCAGAAATGTTTCTTATCTAATTATCTATTCTTTAGAATCTTTAGCTTTAGAATCTAGCTTTAGAATCTTTAGCTTCAGAATCTAGCTTCAGAATCCTTAGCTTTAGAATCTTTAGCTTCAGAATCTAGCTTTAAAATCTTTAGCTTCAGAATCTAGCTTTAGAATCTTTAGCTGAGAATCTAGCTTTAGAATCTAGCTTTAGAATCTTTAGCTTTAGGCACTTTATCCATTCTAACAGCTAAAAGCATGATTTTACTTGATAAATAGATCGATTTTCTTTGTCTTTCGAGCTCTAGCTTCTTTGTACCTTGAACAACTGTACTTTGTACTTTAAACAACTTTTCCGGCTGACTAAATTCATCAATTTCTTAGTTAAAAGCTTGAATTTATTATTAAGATTCTGACTCTATACAGTCTTTACAACTTTAGCTTTAGTAGTTTCTAGTAATTTTATCAGCTTATCAGTAATTTCAGCTCAACTCAATGACTATGCGACCGCCGAATCTCAATGAGAACAAAGAACAAATCGTTGATGATGACGGTTGGTGATCACTTTTGGAAAACTCTTCAAGAATAGTTTAGAAGAATTAAGCCTTCTGGATCTAGAGCCAAATCTAGAGCCAAATCTAGAGCCTTCTGGATCTAGAGCCAAATCTAGAGCCAAATCTAGAGCCTTCTGGATCTAGAGCCAAATCTAGAGCCAAATCTAGAGCCTTCTGGATCTAGAGCCAAAGCTAGAGCCTTCTGGCCACGGCTCTAGATTTGGGATTGCATTTGGGTAAATAAACCGAATGAAATCTCGAAAATATAGCAACTTTTCTGCAAATCTAATAACGGATTCGAATTCGGCATCCTCGAAAACCCTATTGATTGCTAATTTTCAGCCAAATTGGCCTTAAAGACCAATTCGACTGATCTTATTTTTATAGTTTTATAGTTTTATGGATACAGTAAGCTTAAAAACGAGTTTTTTTAAGATATGTCCACCTCTGGGTTCGGATCTGATCACCGCGGAATGTCGGAATTCGAATTTCGTTACCCGTTTTCCGAGCTTCTTCTCTGGGCCGTCCTCACAAAACGACAAGAAATGGCACTTTGCATGTGGGAACACGGAGAGGAAGCACTAGCAAAGGTGAGTTGCAAAAAGAAAGTCAGGATTGTAGCTAGGATTATAGCCAGGATTGTAGCCAGGATTGTAGCCAGGATTGCTACAGACCTAGGATCAGACTAGACCAGAAGCCAAGGCTGAACTCCTGCCTTTCCCTGGCTTTCTCTTCCTTTCTTTCTTTCTCTTCCTCCCTTCCTTCCTTCTTTCTTCCTTTCTTTCTCTTTCTTCCTTTCTTCTTTCTTGCCCTATTTTGTGCCCAACTTTGGCCTGAATTCAGGTTGCATTGGCCTGACTTGATTGCAAACTGTGCCTCACTTTGTGCCCAACTTTCTGTCCAATTTTGTACCCCACTTTGCCCTCTTTCTTCTTGAGCAGCTGCCAATAGCTCAATGGTAGAGCATCTGTAAGCAGAAAGGTAGAAGATCGAGGGTTTAATTCCTCTCTAAATTCTTTCCCATTCATTTCTTTACTTTATTACAAGCAATAGCAGCTTAGTTTCCCCTTGTCAAATCTGGATCTAGCTTCAGAACTGGCCCTGACTTCTGGAATTGGCTTCTGGGCTTGGATCTGGGTTTAGACCTGAATTTAGACCTGAATTTAGACCTGGCTTTAGACCTGAATTCAAACCTGACTTCTGACCCGGCTCTGAACCTGACCTGGCTCCTTGAGTCTGGCACTGGCTCTTGGATCTGGATTCATGGCTCTGGACCTGGCTCCTGGAACTCTTGGGCCTGACATTGAGCCTGACACTAGGCTTAACACTGCGCCTGACCTGCCTCCTGAGCCTTGGCCTGGTTCTAAGACTAGTCTGGCTGACTAGTCTGGCTGACTAGTCTGGCTGACTAGTCTGGCTGACTAGTCTGGCTGACTAGTCTGGCTGACTAGTCTGGCTGACTAGTCTGGCTGACTAGTCTGGCTGACTAGTCTGGCTGACTAGTCTGGCTGACTAGTCTGGCTGACTAGTCTGGCTGACTAGTCTGGCTGACTAGTCTGGCTGACTAGTCTGGCTGACTAGTCTGGCTGACTAGTCTGGCTGACTAGTCTGGCTGACTAGTCTGGCTGACTAGTCTGGCTGACTAGTCTGGCTGACTAGTCTGGCTGACTAGTCTGGCTGACTAGTCTGGCTGACTAGTCTGGCTGACTTTCCTGCAAGTTTGCCTACTTTATCCTTAAAAATTCAAAACTCAAATCCAGATTTAGAAATCTGGACCTGATAACGTCTGTTAAGCTATTCAACTTTTAATTCCAGGCTCTGGTGGCTTGCCGTTTATACAAAAGCTTGGCGAAAGAAGCCGCCGAGGACTATCTGGAAGTGGAGATTTGCGAGGAGCTGAGGAAATATGCTGAGTAAGTTCTACATCTAAATATCTAGGTCTACAGTACTCTACAGTACTCTACAGTACTCTACAGTACACAGTACACAGTACACAGTACTCTACAGTACACAGTACACAGTACACAGTACTCTACAGTACACAGTACACAGTACACAGTACACAGTACACAGTACACAGTACTCTACAGTACTCTACAGTACTCTAGCAAGTTCTCAACTTTCCAGGGAGTTTCGCATGATGTCTCTGGAGCTGCTCGACCACGTTTACACCCAGGACGACGCCGTTGCTTTGCAGGTTCGTTTTCCATTGAAAATTTCAAACTACAGTAACTACAGTAACTTTTCTCAACCCAACCGATAAGTAAAGATCTTCAGTGCCACAAATTTCAGCTCTTAACCTACGAGTTGAAGCAATGGGGAAACGAAACGTGTCTCTCGCTTGCTGTCATCGTCAACAACAAGCATTTCCTTGCGCATCCATGGTAAATTCACATTTAAGATTTCGATTTAAGATAAAAATTCGATAAAATATTCATATATCATCGAATTTCATCTTTCAATTTCCAATTTCAGCTGTCAAATTTTGCTCGCCGATCTCTGGCATGGTGGCTTAAGGATCAGGAGGTGCGGTTTGAACAAAGTTAGAGACAAAAAACTTGTGCACACTGTAATCAGACAAATTCTACAGGATCCAGACTCAAAAGCTTTCGTTGCTAATAGCAAAGAGACGTGGTGGAGGATTGCCAATGGCAAAAAGGGGGCGGAGCGCGTATAAAAGGTGTCCCGCCGCCTTTGCTCTTGGCAACTTTGAACTCCAATATCTTGATGTTGAGCGGTCCAATTTCAATAGTTTTTACACCAATCGATCGAGAAAGACTTGGCGCATCTAATAATGTTAAAAATGCCAAGGATTTCCAATGGCAAAAAGGGGGCGGAGCGCGTATAAAAGGTGTCCCGCCGCCTTTGCTCTTGGCAACTTTGAGCTCAAATATCTTGGTGTTCGGCTATCCAATTTCAACAGTTTTTATATCAATCGATAGAGAAAGACTTGGCGTATCCAATGATATTAAAAAGATTTAAATTGGACAACCCAACACCGAGAAATTTGAGCTCAAAGCTGGATTCCCAATGGCAAAAGTGAGCGGAGCGCGTTAAAAAGCCGCCCGCCCCTTTTTGCCATTGGCAATCTGACTTTAAACTCAAATATCTCGGTACCGGATGCTCAAATACTCAAATATACGAAGATCTTCGAACGCAAAGTTGCCAATGGCAAAGGGGTGGGGCGCCTTTTATACGCGCCCCGCCCCCTTTCCTATTGACAACTTTGAGCTCAAATTTCTTGGTGTTCGGCTATCCAATTTCAATAGTTTTTATATCAATCGATAGAGAAAGACTTGGCGTATCCAATGATATTAAAAAGATTTAAATTGGACAACCCAGCACCGAGAAACTTGAGCTCAAAGTTGGATTCCCAATGGCGAAGGAGGGCAGCAAAGGGGACGGGGCTTCACAGCATTTTTAGCGTACAGTAGCGTACGTACACTAATGACAAACAATCGTCATTAGCATCGTCTTGGAAGTGGCAATTTTAAGCTGAAATCTTTAGCCACTCAAACGCAAAAGTGCTCGTCGGTCTCCTTCTGCCATTCACCATTCCAGCGCTGGAGTTCAAGACAAGAGAAGAGCTCCTCTTGCAGCCGCAAACCGCTGCTGAGCACGAGGTTTGCTTTGATATGTCAGAATCTACGAGTAGACTACAGTAGACTACATTAGACTATAATAGACTACGATAGACTACAGTAGACTGCGGCAGACTACAGCAGACTACAGCACACAGTAGACCACGGTAGACTACAGTAGACTACAGCAGACTACAGCAGACTACAGCAGACTACAGCAGACTACAGCAGACTACAGCAGACGACAGCAGACTACAGCAGACTACAGCAGACTACAGCAGACGACAGCAGACTACAGCAGACTACAGCAGACTACAGCAGACTACAGCAGACTACAGTAGACCGTGGGAGACTACAGCAGACTGTAATAGACTACGATAGGCTACAGTAGACCGCGATAGGGTACATTGGACTACGGCAGACTACGGTAGACTACAGTAGGCTACGATAGGCTACAGTAGACCACGGCAGACTACAGCAGACTACAGCACACAGTAGACCACGGTAGACTACAGTAGACTACCGTAGACTACCGTAGACTACAATAGACTCGATTCAGTAGATATCCCTTTCAGCAAGACATCAATGACACCTCATCATCCTCTTCATCTTCTTCATCTGATGAATCATCAACCACTTCTTTCTCTGATTCCGATGATGATGCGGTAAGCTTTTCATTTTGAAAGCCAGCTATTGTTCAAAGCCAGCTATTGTTCAAAGCCAGCTATTGTTCAAAGCCAGCTATTGTTCAAAGCCAGCTATTGTGCAAAGCCAGCTATTGTGCAAAGCCAGCTATTGTTCATAGCCAGCTATTGTTCAAAGCCAGCTATTGTTCATAGCCAGCTATTGTTCATAGCCAGCTATTGTTCATAGCCAGCTATTGTTCAAAACCAGCTATTGTTCAAAACCAGCTATTGTTCAAAACCAGCTCTGAACCAGTCTTTGTTTCCCCTTTTGTTCAGTTGTTCAGTTGGTCTCTCGTTTTCAGGATAATCTTGGCGCTGGGCGACGCACTTCACACAGCAGTATGCAATCGTTGAACACTCTCAACACAATCGGATTAAGCAGTGTATGTTGTGATTGGTGAAAACGATTTTTTGTTCACAGTTCTTTGTAGTGTTGCAAAGCCTGAAATGTCCTCTGTACAATGAACTTAAAAGAATAAGAATAATATGATCTCTGGACAAAGATATAGACCTACAAAGCGAGGCGACTCGTTCAAAATACCCGGAAACTAAGCGAGAGCCGATTTATCTAATTGCTAAGCTAATTATCTAGCGCTAATCTAATTATCTATTGTTAAATATCTATAGATTATCTAATTATGTACAATTATGTACAATTATGTACAATTATGTACAATTATGTACAATTATGTACAATTAAAACTCCAGTTCTTCCATCGAAGTCGAAAACGCGCAAATCGGGTCAAAGAAAAGGCCTCCGAGGATAACACAGTGGCCACGATTGAAGCCGGTTTACATAAAAGTACAGGTATTAAACAGCTGAATATCTTTAGATATAGAAATATAGTAATCTTAAACAAATTTCACCTAGGCGCCTCTTCGACTGCTTCTCCTCAAACGCGAAAACGGCAACCGAAATGGCCGAATCAAAACGGCACTTTAGTAAATGGATACGGTAGTGCTCGTGGGTTTTTCAGATTTTAAAAAGTGGCCAAGGTTTAGGCTTAGGCTTAGGCTGAGGCTTTGGCTTTGGCTTAGGCTTAGGCTTTGGCTTAGGCTTTCGCTTAGGCTTTGGCTTTGGCTTAGGCTTTCGCTTAGGCTTTGGCTTAGGTTTAGGCTTAGGCTGAGGCTTAGGCTTTGGCTTAGGCTTAGGCTGAGGCTTAGGCTTTGGCTTAGGCTTAGGTTTAGGCTTAGGCTGAGGCTTAGGCTGAGGCTTAGGCTTAGGCTTAGGCTTAGGCTTAGGCTTAGGCTTAGGCTTAGGCTTAGGCTTAGGCTTAGGCTTAGGCTTAGGCTGAGGCTTAGGCTTTGGCTTAGGCTTAGGCTGAGGCTTAGGCTTAGGCTTAGGCTTAGGCTTAGGCTTAGGCTTAGGCTTAGGCTTAGGCTTTGGCTTAGGCTTAGGCTTAGGCTGAGGCTTAGGCTTTGGCTTAGGCTTAGGCTTAGGCTTAGGCTTTGGCTTAGGCTTAGGCTTAGGCTTAGGCTTAGGCTTAGGCTTAGGCTTAGGGTTAGGCTTAGGGTTAGGCTTTGGCTCAGGCTTAGGCTTTGGCTGAGGCTTAGGCTTAGGCCTAAAACTAATGATTCAATACATTTATTGTAATTTTCAGCTGATGTCCGTCGCCGAAAGAACTCACTCTCATCTGAAGATGGCGATTTCCCGGCAAAGCACAATTTCAGGAATTTAATCCCAAGCAATCTACAAAGAATGGTTTGTGTTACAGAGATACGATTAATACTTGAATATAGGATGATACTGTACTCATTGTACGCTGCTTTGTACTGGTACTTTGTACTTGCATTTGTGCTGGTACTTGTACTTGTACTTTGTACTGGTACCTGTACTTCTACTTGTGCTGGTACTTGTACTTGTACTGGTACTTACACTTTGTACTGGTACTTGTACTGATACTTACACTTTGTACTGGTACTTGTACTGGTACTTACACTTTGTAGTGTAGTGTAGTACAAGTACAAGTACCAGCACAAGTACAACTACCAGCACAAGTACAATTACAAAGTGTAAGTACAAGTACAATTACAAGTACAAGTACAAGTCCCAGTACCAGTACCAGTTACGTAATTGTACTTTATGCTTCTTTCTAGCGCATTCTGTTCTTCGTTTTCTAACTCTTTTAAATTAAAACTATTAAAATGATGAATTCAGTACGTTAGAAAAGACGACTTTACCATTTTCGAGCTTCCAAGTACCACTTTTAACCTCTCAACAATATTAACCCCCATTTTTCAGTCAATCATTGGTCGATTGAATGTAAACAATGTGGTGAGTAGCATTTGGGAAAGCTAAACTCGAGATTTTCTGTCTTTAATTTACCAAACGACAAAATGATCCTTTTTTGCATGAAATTTCTCTTCAACTTCAATTTTCCTTTTTCTAGAAGAAAATCAAATTTCGTCGACGTTTCTACGAGTTCTACGCGGCGCCAATCACCACTTTTTGGTCGTGGGCGATCGCCTTTTGCTTGTTCTTGATGTGTTTCACCTATGTGCTTTTGATCAAGTAAGATTGGATTTGAGAATTGAAAAGAAGAAGGAAAGAATGCCAGGACTAGACATAGACTTAGACTAGACAGAAGTATTATCTAGAAAGTAACAAACGAAAGATAGATTTGTGTTAAGATCTGTTAAACAGACAAGATCAGATCACGCTTCTTCTAAAAGTAATTCTCTTCTAAAAGTAAAGTAAGGCTTTGCTCCTTAAGCCCACCAGAAGCAAGGTTAGGAAAAGAGGCAGAAATTAAGGCTGGATTTGGTCTAAAGCCTTAGCTTGGCCTGGAAAACAGCCTAAAGCCTTAGCTTGGCCTAGACAATGGCCTAAAGCCTTAGCTTGACCTAGACAATGGCCTAGAGCCTTAGCTTGGCTTAGAAAATGGCCTAAAGCCTTAGCATGGCCTGGAAAACAGCCTAAAGCCTTAGCTTGACCTAGACAATGCCCTGAAGCATTAGTTTGACCTAGACAATGCCCTGAAGCCTTAGCTTGACCTAGACAATGCCCTGAAGCCTTAGCTTGACCTAGACAATGCCCTGAAGCCTTAGCTTGACCTAGACAATGCCCTGAAGCATTAGTTTGACCTAGACAATGCCCTGAAGCCTTAGCTTGACCTAGACAATGCCCTGAAGCCTTAGCTTGACCTAGACAATGCCCTGAAGCCTTAGCTTGACCTAGACAATGCCCTGAAGCATTAGTTTGACCTAGACAATGCCCTGAAGCCTTAGCTTGACCTAGACAATGGCCTAAAACCTTAGCTTGGCCTGGAAAACAGCCTAAAGCCTTAGCTTGGCCTAGACAATGGCCTAAAGCCTTAGTTTGACCTAGACAATGGCCTAAAACCTTAGCTTGGCCTGGAAAACAGCCTAAAGCCTTAGCTTGGCCTAGACAATGGCCTAAAGCCTTAGTTTGACCTAGACAATGGCCTAAAACCTTAGCTTGGCCTGGAAAACAGCCTAAAGCCTTAGCTTGGCCTAGACAATGGCCTAAAGCCTTAGTTTGACCTAGACAATGGCCTAAAACCTTAGCTTGGCCTGGAAAACAGCCTAAAGCTTTAGCTTGGCCTAGAAAATTGGCAAAAGAATTGCTTTTAGCTTGGCTTCACCTAGAAATTTTCCTTTTTAGCCAATTCTGGTCCTTTCCTGACCCAATCAAGAAAGCCTCTGGAAACTGAATTCTCTTTTTAGAACCCCAGCGCATCCATCTCTATGGGAGTGGCTCCTATTCGCTTATGTGGTTTGTTTCGGAATGGAGCATACGAGAAAGGTAAAGATAGCAAAATTGATGTCATTTTTGCTTCATTTTGCTCCATTTTGCTCCATTTTGCTTCATTTTACTAATATTTTTCCAGTTCATGATGACCGATATGGCTCCGTTTTCTCAAAAGCTCAAATATTTCTTTTTCAACTATTGGAATACGGTGACAGCGCTGGCGATCGTTTGCTTTTTTGTCGGATTTGGCTTACGCGTTTTTGGGTAAGCTGTAAGCTGTAGGTTGTAGGCTGTAAGCTGTTAGCTCTAAGCAGTTAGCTGTAAGCTGTTAGCTCTAAGCAGTTAGCTGTAAGCTGTTAGCTCTAAGCAGTTAGCTGTTAGCTCTAAGCTGTTAGCTGTAAGCTGTTAGCTCTAAGCAGTTAGCTGTAAGCTGTTAGCTCTAAGCTGTTAGCTGTTAGCTGTAGGCTGTAGGCTGTTAGCTGTTAGCTGTTAGCTGTTAGCTGTTAGCTGTTAGCTGTTAGCTGTTAGCTGTAAGCTGTTAGCTGTTAGCTGTTAGCTGTAAGCTGTTAGCTGTTAGCTGTTAGCTGTTAGCTGTTAGCTGTTAGCTGTTAGCTGTTAACTGTTAGCTGTTAGCTGTTAGCTGTTGGAAAATGGTAGAGCTGGATTTGTCGGTTTGATTGTCAATAGGTGTACAATGGAAAAACAAGATTCAACCATTTCAATCCCTACTTTTTCAAGAATTTTTTAATTCAATAGATTTCTTGGAAATTCTACCTTGGAAATCCTGAAAAGTTGCCTCTGAAATGGTCAAATCTCGTTTTTCCATTGTACACCTATTGACAATCAAACAGACAAATCAAGAGCTGTATTATAAGACAAAGATCCATGCTTTAACCACCAAACTTTAACCACCAAATCTTTTTAGAATCTTGAACTGGGGTCGGGTGATCTTAGCCTGTGACAGTGTGCTGTGGATCATGAAAACCCTTGACTACATGAGCGTTCATCCTAGACTCGGACCGTATATCACGATGGCTGGAAAAATGGTGAGAGATTGGAGATTAGTTTGGCTGCTGTATCCCAGAGGGAGTTAGCTGTGATACTGTAGCAAATAAGGGCTAGACTTTTACAGTATCTCTAGCAGTTACAGTAGTCTCGGTACTTACTACAGTACCCCAGTACTCATTACAGTACAGCAGTAATCATTACAGTACCCCAGTACTTACTACAGTACTCCAACACTTATTACAGTACACCAGTACTTATTACAGTACACCAGTACTTATTACAGTACACCAGTACTCATTACAGTACACCAGTACTCCTTACACTATCCCAGCACTTGTTACAGTATCCCAGCACTCCTTACAGTACCCCAACACTTACTACAGTACACCAGTCCTCATTACAGTACCCAGTACTTATTACGATATCCCAGTATGTCTAAAGGTTTAGGTTTTAGTTTTAGACAGCTTTTAGACAGCTTTCATACTGTAGATCTAGATCTAAAAAGTACTTTTAACAACTACCGTAACCCCAGTACTATTTACAGTACTACAAACATCAAAATCTAAACCTCTCTAGGTGCTTTCCATGTCTTACATCATCGTCATGCTCTGTGTAGCGTTGTTGGCTTTCGGTTTAGCTCGTCAATCGATCACTTACCCCAATGAGGAATGGCATCCACTATTGTTAAGGTAGAGTACTAACGCTAGTACGTTAAAGTAGAGTACTAACGAAAGTATTAAGCATACTTACAAGAGTACTATCCTAGTACTATCCTTGTACTATCCTAGTACTCTCCTGGTACTATCCTAGTACTCTCCTGGTACTATCCAATTCTAACAATTCTTTATTTCAGAAACATCTTCTTAAAACCCTATTTCATGCTTTACGGTGAGGTGTACGCGGATGAGATCGATCAATGCGGGGATGACGGTCAGCTTCCACTGCGCAAAGCAGTACAACGTACTTTGATCATAGCTTTCCAGAGATTTATCGAGATTTTATCATATTAGTGTCATTCGACGCCTTAGACGATTTCCTAGCGAATGACACTGATATTTTACAGATTGAAAATGTCCCTAAAAAGTTATGCTCAAAAGTACGCTAAAAGTGCGCTAAAGTTATGCCCACCAAATACCATTGAATACTGTATTATTTTCTGGATTCTTGGATTCTTGGAGTCCTGGAATCCTGGAGTCCTGAAGTTCTGGAGTCTTGGAGTCTTGGAGTCTTGGAGTACTGGATTCTTGGAGTCTTGGATTCTTGGATTCTTGGAGTCCTGGATTCTTGGAGTCCTGGAGTCCTGGAGTCCTGGAGTCCTGGATTCTTGGATTCTTGGGGTCATGGATTCTTGGTTTCTTGGATTCTTGGAGTCCTGGAGTCCTGGATTCTTCGATTCTTCGATTCTTTGATTCTTGGAGTCCTGGAATCCTGAAGTCCTGAAGTCCTGGAGTCTTGGGGTCTTGGAGTCTTGGATTCTTGGAGTCCTGGATCCTTGGATTCTTGGATTCTTGGATTCTTGGGTTCTTGGATTCTTGGATTCTTTGATTCTTGGATTCTTGGATTCTTGGAGTCCTGGATTCTTGGAGTCTTGGATTCTTTGATTCTTGGAGTCCTGGATTCTTGGAGTCCTGGATTCTTGGAGTCCTGGATTCTTGGAGTCTTGGATTCTTTGATTCTTGGAGTCCTGGATTCTTGGAGTCCTGGATTCTTGGAGTCTTGGATTCTTTGATTCTTGGAGTCCTGGATTCTTGGAGTCCTGGATTCTTGGAGTCTTGGATTCTTTGATTCTTGGAGTCCTGGATTCTTGGAGTCCTGGATTCTTGGAGTCCTGGATTCTTGGAGTCTTGGATTCTTTGATTCTTGGAGTCCTGGATTCTTGGAGTCCTGGAGTCCTGGATTCTTCGATTCTTCGATTCTTCGATTCTTTGATTCTTTGATTCTTTGATTCTTTGATTCTTGGATTCTTGGAGTCCTGGAATCCTGGAGTCCTGAAGTCCTGGAGTCTTGGAGTCTTGGAGTCCTGGATTCTTGGATTCTTGGAGTCTTGGATTCTTGGATTCTTGGATTCTTGGGTTCTTGGATTCTTGGCTTGATTTCTAAAACTAGCCAATTTAGCCTGGGATCAACACCTGGAAGAGGGGAAACCCTTGCGCTTCTACACCTCGAATCACACGACAAATCCGAACTGTGTAGCCGGCCATTGGATCCCGCCAATCCTCATGACCTTTTTCCTCCTTGTCGCCAATATTCTTCTCATGAGCATGCTGATCGCCATTTTCAAGTCAGTTATTATTGAATATATATTGAAAGCTTGTTTTTAAAGGGGTTTTAAAGGGTTTTTAACGGTTTTTTAAGGTTTTTAAACGGTTTTTAAGGTTTTTGACGGTTTTTAAACGATTTTTAACGATTTTTAACGATTTTTAAGGTTTTTGAACGGTTTTTAAGGTTTTAAACGATTTTTAACGGTTTTTAAAGTATTTTGGATTACTTGGGCAATAGATTTCTGGAAAAATGACCGTACTTTGCGGTGAAAAAAGTACTTTGGCTGTCCTGTGCTTTGGCTTTGAGTAAAACCTCAAATATTGTTAAAAAAAGTGTTTTAAATCGAAAACCACTCAAAATCTAGATGTCAAATGATCTAGAAAATGATTTTAAATCAAAATTTCGGCAAAATCTAAAGGTGAAATGATAAATTTTGACTTTAAAAGTGCTAAAATTGAGGTTTTGTTTTGAGATTTTGTTTTCAACATCTTTTTCAACAAGTTTTCAACTTTCTTTCGAAGCTTTGAGCGCTTTTTGAGAGCTTTTTGAGAGCTTTTTGAGAGCTTTTGCTGTTTTTCGTTTTCTTTAACACATTTACAACAATCTAGTCTACGATCCGACCGATCGCTGTACAAATGACGACAATTTTTGGTGTCAACTAAAGCTTTAAAGGACTTTTTTTTGATTTATTTTGTAGAAAGCCCTCGGTAACTTTGTACTAGTCTTCAAGAGAAGACTCAGCGCTATCGAAAGACTATAATAGTTTAGATTATCTTTGAATTTACCCCAAAGTCCCAGTGCAACAGTTAACGACTACGCGACTGTACGCTCAAAATGCCGCAAAGCCCTGCCCCCTTTGGCCATTGGCAATCTGACTTTGAGCTCAAGTTTCTTGGCGTTGGATTGTCCAATTTCAATAATTTTTAGACCAATCAACGGAGAAAGTCTTGGCGCATGTAATGATACCAAAAGTATTTAAATTGAACAGCCCAACACCGAGATATTTGAGGTGAAAGTTGGATTGCCAATGGCAAAGAGGCTGGGCGGGTATCAGATGTCGAAAATGTATCAGATGTCGAAAAAAAAGGCCGTCCTTGTGAATGTGTTAAACTATTCTAAATGATACTCATCGTTGAATAAAAGCAGTCTAAACTTTAGGGATTACGGTAATCGGTTGAAAGCTAGAGCATCGATTGAATCTGTTGAAAGCTGTACAAGAGAGGGCTGGGGAGTAGAAGCACTTCCCAGGTTGAGGGAAGTAGAAGCACTTCCCAGGCTGAGGGAAGTAGAAGCACTTCCCAGGCTGAGGGAAGTAGATGCACTTCCCAGCCTCAGGGGACGTAGAAGCACTTCCCAGGATCAGGGAAGTAGAAGCACTTCCTAGGCTTATGAAAGTAGAAGCCCTTCCGCTCAGGGAAGTAGAAGCATTTCCTAGGCTTATGGAAGTAGAAGCACTTCCCAGTCTCAGAGAAGTAGAAGCACTTCCCAGTCTCAGAGAAGTAGAAGCACTTCCCAGGCTCAGGGAAGTAGAAGCACTTCCCAGTCTCAGAGAAGTAGAAGCACTTCCCAGTCTCAGAGAAGTAGAAGCACTTCCCTAAACCCTTTTCTAAATCGTTTTCTCAATCGTTTCCTAAAACTTTTTACCTACCATAAGCCAGCCATTTCTCCGAATAAAAGTCTAGAAGCTTTCCTTATTTTCAGAACGAGATACTTGCGTCCATTTTTCCGCGCTCTTCGCTTGTTACTCAAAAGGTTATCCAGTGAAATATCAGAAAATTTCCCGATTCAGTTAAAAATAATCGCAAAACTTCTATAAGTCTTTAAGAGTCACGCCAAGAATAACAGTTTTCCCTCAAAAAAAAAAACAACGAAATAACTTGTCTTACTTTAAACAAGCTTGAGTTTAAGTTTGACAAAAATCGAGTGCGAATGTGTGAAACAAAGTTTTCTTTCAAATTTCGATCATTTCAGCCATATTTTCGATCAAACTGAAGAGTTTTCCCAGCAGATTTGGCTTTTTCAACGTTATCGACAGGTTTGCTTTTGAGGGTAATGTAGGATTCGAGCTTTTGATCGACTTTAGAGCTCTAGTTCAGTACTTTAGAGCTCTAGTACAGTACTTTAGGGTTACTCTAGCCGCTTACTCTAGCCGCTTACTAGAGCCGCTTACTCTAGCCGCTTACTAGAGCCGCTTACTAGAACTGCTTACTCTAGCCGCTTACTAGAGCCGCTTACTCTAGCCGCTTACTCTAGTCCCTTACTCTAGCCGCTTACTAGAGCCACTTACTCTAGCCGTTTACTAGAGCCGCTTACTCTAGCCGCTTACTAGAGCCACTTACTCTAGCCGCTTACTAGAGCCACTTACTCTAGCCGTTTACTAGAGCCGCTTACTCTAGCCGCTTACTAGAGCCACTTACTCTAGCCGCTTACTAGAGCCACTTACTCTAGCCGCTTACTAGAGCCGCTTACTCTAGCCGCTTACTCTAGTCCCTTACTCTAGCCGCTTACTAGAGCCACTTACTCTAGCCGTTTACTAGAGCCGCTTACTCTAGCCGTTTACTCTAGCCGCTTACTAGAGCCACTTACTCTAGCCGCTTACTAGAGCCGCTTACTCTAGCCGCTTACTCTAGTCTCTTACTCTAGCCGCTTACTAGAGCCACTTACTCTAGCCGTTTACTAGAGCCGCTTACTCTAGCCGTTTACTAGAGCCGCTTACTAGAGCCACTTACTCTAGCCGCTTACTAGAGCCACTTACTCTAGCCACTTACTAGAGCCACTTACTCTAGCCGCTTACTAAAGCCGCTTACTCTAGCCGCTGACTCTAGCCGCTTACTGTAACTTTGGGTAAATGTATCGTCGATTCTTTTGAGAGTACTTTAGGGAAACTTGAACTCTATTTATGCTAATTTAAGAAAGCCATTGAAAGATCTAGGTGATGGAGTACGAGTCGACTCCATTCTTTCCACCGCCGCTCACTTTCATCTGGCACATTTACATGCTCATCAAGTACATTCGATGGAGGGTTTGTAATTGAAATTTGGAACTGTAAGACTGTGTGAATTGTAACACTGTAAGAACTCTAAGACTGTAAGAACTGTAGGCCTACTGTCAAAGATTCTTGAAGCTAAAAGCTAAAGCTTTTTGAAAACAAGTTGACGAATTGGATTTTCCAATTTCTAGTTATAGTTATTTCCAGTTATTGACCTACTTGAAGTTATGTAAGAGTTGTTTGAAAAAGCAAAAAAATCTAAGCCCGATGCGGGGCTCGAACCCGCGACAGCCAGATTAAGAGTCTGGTGCTCTACCGACTGAGCTAACCGGGCTGATGAGAGAGCTGTCAAGAAATCGCCTGAAGTCCCAATGAGTTGTTTAACTAAGAGTTAAGAAGCTCGATTTCTTTCTAAGCTAAAAGCCAAAGCCAAGGCCAAAGCCAAGGCCAAAGCCAAGACCAAAGCCAAGGCCAAAGCCAAGGCCAAAGCCAAGGCCAAAGCCAAAGCCAAGGCCAAAGCCAAAGCCAAGACCAAAGCTAAAGCCAAAGCCAAGGCCAAAGCCAAGGTCAAAGCCAAGGTCAAAGCCAAGACCAAAGCCAAGGCCAAAGCCAAGGCCAAAGCTAAAGCTAAAGCCAAAGCCAAGACCAAAGCCAAAGCTCTTCAACTGATGCCTAAAATCTCATCAACTAATTTCAGTGCCGAAAGCGCAATCCGAATGATGAAAGGGCTTTGGATGTATTCGATTTCTCGCTTAGTGAGTATTACAAAGTTTTACTTTAGTTTTACGTAATTTTATGTAAGTTTTATGTAATTCAAATGTTTTAGAGCTATTCTTATCAGAAGATCAAGTCGAAAAGCTGCATGATTTTGAAGAGGATTGCATGGAGGAGTTGGGACGGAAGAAAGAACACGAGAGGAACACAAGCAGTGAGCAAAGGATATTGAGAACGGCTGAGAGGTGAAGATTTTAGAACCCTAGATTTGTGCAGTACTACAGGGTCGAAATTACTGTAGTCGACAAACTGTCGAATTGTACAACTGGCCACGTCAGTACAGGACAGTACAGTTGTCCTTAACTGGGACTCGAATCCTTTCGCTTTCCGGGTTATGCTCTACCACTGAGCTACGACGCATCCCACTGCTAGGGTAAGGCCTTATGCCTTACTGTACTACGGATATACTGTACTACTACTGTACTATGATATCGTAAGCCTGATCTGGTTATTGTAGACCTAGCCTGGCTACTGTAGGCTTACCCTGGCTACTATAGGCCTAGCTTGGCTACTGTAGGCTTACACTGGCTACTATAGGCCTAGCCTGGCTACTGTAGGCTTACACTGGCTACTATATGCCTAATCTGGCTACTGTAGGCTTACCCTAGCTCCTATAGACCTACCCTGGCTACTATAGGCCTAGTCTGGCTACTTTAACCCTTCAACCCTTGTAGACCTACCCTGACCACTTTACTCTGCTACTGTAGACCTAGCCTGACTGTTAGCTGTACTAAGTACAAGCCCACAGTTATCTCTAGTATCTCTAGTATCTACAGTACCTCCACTTGTAGCACAAAAATCTGAAATTTATTAGGTAGTCGTTTAAATTGAACCATTCACATGCAAATTGAGCAATTCAATCAACTTTCCGATTCAGAACCGATCTGATGATGGCTAGACTCAACGATTTGACCTCAAAAGAGTCAATGCTAAGAGGTGATCTGCAGGGAATGGAGAATCGCTTGGAGTTGATTGAAACGAGACAGGTAGGAGATAGGAAAATACCATAAACAAGTTTTGAAAGCCAAGGCTGGCTGGCTGGTTCAGTTTCTGACGATTCAGAGTCGGCTAGGAGTTGATTCTGGAAATTCTGGGGTTCAGAGCTGGTCTAAAGCTGGTCTAAAGCTGGTCTAAAGCTGGCCAAGTGATTTCAGTTCAAAAAGCCGAGACTTTATCTGGATTTTAACCTGTCCTGTCTTGAAAAAAGTCTGAAGCAATAGTTCTGTCTGGAAAAATAGCCGTTACAATTGGTTTGGCCTTTTTGGCTAGTCTGATATTATGCCAGATTCACTATTATGACAGCGCTTAGATCCAGATCCAGATCCAGATCCAGATCCAACTTAGATCCAGATCCAAATCCAATTTAGATCCAGATCCAGATCCAGATCCAGGTCCAATTTAGGTAGAGATCCTTGACGCTGTCCGACAACTCACTCAAACGCTCCCCTTCTTCTTGCAAATGCAAACCGGAGCGATTCGCACGAATCTCTCACCGGCTCCGTCCATTATACTACAAGGCCCGCGAGAGCAAAGCATTGAAGAGGTGGAAAGCTTATCTATTTATCTATCTACACTACTGGACAATGAAATATCATGTTTGAAATCATATTTAAAAAACGATCGTCACTTTCGCGCGTCTGTAACTCCCTTATCTTTACCGTATTTCTAAATATTAATATTACCATTGTGTAGCCGTTGAAAAGAGCTTTCAGAAAATATATAACACTAATAGTTTAAACTCAAAGCGAAGGAAGTTACAGATGTGCGAAAGTGACGATCTTTGTCACTGGATATTTCATTGTCCAGTACTGTATCTATCTATCTATTTATCTATATATCTATCTATCTATTTATCTATCTATTTATCTATTGCAATACTTTATCTAACTACTTTCCAGCCTGCTCACTCAGCTCCATGCTTTGGTCAAATCACCTCACAGCTATCGCTCACCGATGCCCCAACCCGGCCTCGACAAAGAACCTCAACCATTTGTGGTAAGGATTGCGTTTTTAGAAAGAAAAGATTAAAAAGATGAAGATCCAAAAGTTTCCTATACAATAAAACATTTAAAGATGCATTTAGGTCCCGATGCAATCCAGGATCCGATCCTTCTCTCCCCTAGCGGCAACAACCTCGACCCATTGCGCGTTGGCTCACTGACGAACCTCGCCGGGCCAACACAGGCAATCCTTGCACACAGCGGATCAATCGTTTTGCCAAGAAGGGATACAATCAGGTGAGATTGCTTTTTTTGGCCTATTTGTGGAGTTGGAAGTTTCAATGCCTATTTGTGGAGTGGGGAGTTTAGAGGCCTATTTGTGGAGTTGGAAGTTTCAATGCCTATTTGTTTCTGGGATTTTATTTGAAAGTTTCAATGCCTATCTCCAGATCTTTCCAGATCTCCAGATCAGAAATCTTTCCTTCACCAATTCTCAGAAATCTCAGAAATGTCAGAAATCCCAGAAATCCCAGAAATCCAATGACCTATAAGATTCATTGAAAAACCTTTTTAGTATGTCATTCCGTCGCCGACACCACGAGGAGTACACAACGATCACTGACGCGATATCGCTTGCAGCTGCTGATGGACGGAGTGTCGAGAGGAGAGACACCGATGATGAGGTTGATCGTTGAGTTTCGTTAAAGCTGTACAAAGCAATACAAAGCTGTACAAAGCTGTACGAAGCTGTACAAAGCTGTAACAAGTTGTACAAAGCTGTACAAAGCTGTACAAAGCTGTACAAAGCTGTACAAAGTTGTACAAAGCTGTACAAAGCTGTACAAAGCTGTACAAAGCTGTACAAAGCTGTAACAAGTTGTACAAAGCTGTAACAAGTTGTACAAAGCTATACAAAGCTATACAAAGCTGTACAAAGCTATACAAAGCTGTACAAAGCTATACAAAGCTGTACAAAGCTATACAAAGCTGTACAAAGCGGCACAAAGCGGTACAAAGCTGTACAAAGCTGTACAAAGTTGTACAAAGTTGTAGAAAGCTGTACAAAGTACTTCCAGACAATCGGCGGACTTCTCAGTGACGAGGAGCCAAATTCAATCGTCTTGCCAAAGAAAAAGTCGAAAGTGTCAAGCGTTTTACCGCCAGCTGTTGATGAGGTAATTCAATAACAATTTAGATTTCAAATCAACTTTAGGCTGTGGTACGGGAAGAGGAAGCGATGGCCGACTGTGAGTTGACTGAGGTGGAGAAAGACGAAGAAGTTGAGAGATTGAGGGGAAATGGCGATTTGAGCAACACGAGGAGCAGTGATGATGGAGAGGTAAGATTTAAGAGATTAAAAAAAGGCGCTGGATAATGAACAATGCTTGGTTTAAGTTTTAGAAATCTTAAACCTACCGTTAACTGTTGTGAAAAGTACTTTATGCTTAAAAATGGGAACGCATCGTTTCTAGAGCATTCGTCAATTTCTTAAGACCGTTTCTTTCTGTGAATCGTGGTCTTTTGAAAGTTCCGTGGTCTTTTGAAAGTTCCGTGGTCTTTTGAAAGTTCTGTGGTCTTTTAAAAGTTCCATGGTCTTTTAAAAGTTCTGTGGTCTTTTAAAAGTTCCATGGTCTTTTGAAAGTTACGTGGTCTTTTCAAAGTTCTGTGGCCTTTTGTCAAAAAAGCTTTGGCACGCCTTGAGTTTCCCCGGACACGCAAATGCTTGTAAAGCTGGCCTTCACATACAGGCTCAGGCTCCGACTTGACTTGATACTGTAGCTTTCCGACTAAAGTACGGTAGCATATCAACCGTAGTACGGAGTACGGTAGCTTTACGTTTACGGTAGTCTATCGCGTTTTCTAGAATTCAGAAGAAAGAAGACACCGTACTCCAGCCATAAACAATGAAAGATTCGCCAGAAAGGCTGCGTTTACATTTTTGAGCACAAAGTACAGTACAACACAAAGTACAGTACAACACAAAGTACAGTACAACACAAAGTACAGCACAAAGTACAGTACAACACAAAGTACAGTACGATATCTTGTATCTAAATATCTAAAAACTATATAATCTAAATCTATTCAGGGTCTCACTTTCATCGTGAACTCTTCCTCACTCAATCGTCTCCATCAATCCACTCCCACTCCACCCGAGCCCCATCCCAGCCCAGAGCTTGCCCGATCTCGTGGCTCAACTCCAGCTCGAAGCATTTTCCGACATCATACTATCGACTGATTTGGAGGCAATTCGAAATCGATCTTATCTTATCGATCTTTTGATCTTCTGATCGATATTTCGATCTTTCGATCTTCTGATCGATCCTTTGATCTTCTGATCGATCTTTTGATCATTTTATCGATCTTTTGATCATCTTATCGATCCTTTGATCTTCTTATCGATCTTTTGATCTTCTTATCGATCTGTTGATCTTCTTATCGATCTGTTGATCTTCTTATCGATCTGTTGATCTTCTTATCGATCTGTTGATCTTCTTATCGATCTGTTGATCTTCTTATCGATCTGTTGATCTTCTTATCGATCTGTTGATCTTCTTATCGATCTGTTGATCTTCTTATCGATCTGTTGATCTTCTTATCGATCTGTTGATCTTCTTATCGATCTTTTGATCTTCTTATCGATCTGTTGATCTTCTTATCGATCTGTTGATCTTCTTATCGATCTTTTGATCTTCTTATCGATCTGTTGATCTTCTTATCGATCTGTTGATCTTCTTATCGATCTTTTGATCTTCTTATCGATCTTTAGATCTTCTTATCGATCTGTTGATCGTCTTATCGATCTTTCGGATCACTTTAAACTGTTCATCTCTTTTCTACAAGATTTTCTATCAGATTTCCTATAAGATTTTCTTAATCATTTGATATCAATAATATCAATAATCTAGCTTGAAATGTATAAAACCATTACAAAAAGACGATATTGACGATATTGAATTGATGAACCATTACAAAAAGACGATATTGATGAATTTGTGCCTTTTTAAAGACTTAAAACATTTTCATTCAAGGCATTTTATTTCATTTAACATTTAAGCTTTCTTGTAAATGAAAGTGCCATATAAACCCCATCTAGAACATCGAATTTGTACAATTTTTTACCTTTTACACCACAAAGTACATTCAGATCAAATTTCGATAAAAAAATAGCATTATTATAAGATTAAAGTTCTTTATTTATTCAAGTATTATAATATTTTTATTTCTTTTTCTGTATTCCTTTAGTATTCCTTTTTCTCTGCCCAAAACATCTTCAATCGGGTTGATTTCTCGTTGAAAATTTGTTTAATTTGTTAATTCTTATTCTGTACGGGCATAATCCGTTTTATTTTTAAAAATTACCAAAAATATTCAAAGATTACTGTTTTAAAAGCTATTAACCTTTAACTATTTAACCTTTTTCTCTTTTTCTTTCCATATTCAGTTATTGATCGATTTGTGATAGCCGATTCCCCCCTTTTTCTCTTAATCTTTCCCAGTGACACGTGCAAATAAAGTGCTTTTATTTGAATGAATGAGTAATTGCAAAGAAACATGAAAAAGCTGAAAACATATTGAAAAATATATCGATTGGACAAAGGTTTTTTAGCTCTTTTGGCTCTTTTAGCCGGAATCCAGAGATTTTAAATGCTCACTCGAGTTTTGAACGCCTTTAACTCTTTCAGAGATAATATTATTCTTAATTTAGATCATTGAATAGCTTTAACTCTGAAACATTAAAAGTTATACCCAATAAGCTAATATATTATAGCCGAGATTTAGTGTGACGAACGGCCAGACAGATAGACAGACGGAGGGAGAGACAGACGGACAGACGGACAGACAGACAGACGGACAGACAGACAGATGGACAGACAGACAGACAGACAGACAGACAGACAGACAGACAGACAGACAGACCGACAGACATACGGACAGACAGACAGACAGACAGACGAACGGACAGACAGACGAACGGACAGACAGACGAACGGACAGACAGACAGACAGACAGATAGACATACAGACAGAAAGACGAACGGACAGACAGACAGACAGACGAACGGACAGACAGACGAACGGACAGACAGACGAACGGACAGACAGACAGACAGACAGATAGACATACAGACAGAAAGACGAACGGACAGACAGACAGACAGACGAACGGACAGACAGACAGACAGACGAACGGACAGACAGACAGACAGACAGCTACCACAGTGATGTTGTACACTTTGTTAGAGCAATGTAAAAAATATAAGTGTCCCTGATCGTGACAGTAAACTTGTGAACTTTCATTGGAAAATTCCCGCAAGCTCATTGGTGTGGCTAATCCTTTTCCGCAAATTGCTTTCTCATTTCATCGATTCTAAAAGTGTCTAGAAGAAATGGCTCAAATAACCAAGTACTTGACGGCAAATTTTCTTCTTTTATTTTTATTAATGAGTAATTTCGAAAGGAAATTGTCCTATGTAAGTTTTTGTTAAGAGAAAAGTACGTCTTTACTTTAGAAAAGTACGTCTTTACTTTAAAAATGTACTTTACTTTTTTTCAGCACACGGCTCAGCAATTCGCTTTGTACATGGAGCCATTTTTGAGTGGAGAAGCGACAGAGTTGGGTGCACATTCGAGCGAGCTAAAAAGGAGAATTAAACAGTATCACTTTGTGAGTGAGGCTGTTGAGTTGTTTAACTAGAAATTAGCTATTTAACTGGAAACATTGCGTGCAATCAAGTCCGTATCTAGGAATTCTTCTTGGTGGAAGGGAATGTTCTCGTTGAGAGCTTTAAATTAGCTATGATTTTGGCTGCAATCGTACTTTATTATCAACTAAATAAAAAAAATAAATCCGTCCGTCCGTCATGCCTACGCGACAATACAAATTATGTTATTTAGTATAATTAAAACCAGCTAGAAAGCTAAAAATTTGTACTTGGGGGTTTTCGAGGATGAGGAATCCGAATTTGTAATCAGATTTGTGCAACGTGCCCTCAGTAGGTAGAATACCGTACTCTAGGTAGAATACCGTACTCTAGGTAGAATTTCCGTGCGCCTGACGTCTAAGCCTAAGCCGGAGCCTAAGCCTAAGCCTAAGCCTAAGCCGGAGCCTGAGCCTGAGCCTAAGCCTAAGCCTAAGTCTAAGCCTAAGCCTAAGCCTAAGCCGGAGCCTGAGCCTGAGCCTAAGCCTAAGCCTAAGCCTGAGCCTGAGCCTAAGCCTAAGCCCAAGCCTAAGCCTGTATGTCTGTATGTCTGTATGTCTGTCTGTATGTCGACTTCGACTTTCCTTCTTTCTTCTACTTTCCTTCTTTCTTCCACTTTCCTTCTTTCTTCTACTTTCCTTCTTTCTTCTACTTTCCTTCTTTCTTCCACTTTCCTTCTTTCTTCTACTTTCCTTCTTTCTTCTACTTTCCTTCTTTCTTCCACTTTTTCTTCTTCTAGGTTATTTCTTGCGGTTTTTAAAGAACTTCTTTTAAACATTTATTGGCAACACATATACAAAAAATCAAAGCAAATCAGAGGCGGTAGAGTCGTCGCTCGAGCTGTCGCTGCTGTCGCTGCTCTCGATGTCGCTGTCGATCTCTTCGCCCGGTTCCTCCATTCCAGTGGCCCATCCTAAAATAAAGTATGTTGTGAATGTTTAAGGAAGGAAGTAAAAGTAAAAGTAAAAATATAAAGTAAAGTCTTTGAAGTAAAAACTCACCAACTGCCAGGTTCTTCTCCATCATCGCGAGTTGGTGTCGAATTGTGACGATCAACTCGTCTCCTTGACCTTCTTCGAACCACTTGTCTAGCTCCCCCATGATGTTTGGGTCGTCCACGAAAGTCTGAAACGATAAAGATAAAAACTTTCACCAAAAACTTTACTTACTTGGATGCATGCCATGCAATGGTCCTGTCGCTTGACACTGAAGACTTTGGCTTCCACGATGAGCAGTCGAACGTGGGCGATGAGTTGCTTGGCGAACACGCAAAGGAGTTTCCATCCTGAAAACCAAAGTTAGAAAAGCGAAAATCCGAAAAGAACATACCATTTAACGTGTCCACGAGCGGTCCCTCGAGTTGGTCTACCAAATCCCTCACACGGATGTTCCGATTGAATGGCGTGCGGATGAAATGCTCGTTGCCTCGGTTCTTCTTTTGTCTCAATCCAAGAATCGCTTTCGAAACTTTGATCTGAATTAACGAAAATTAAATATCTATTAAACCATGAAACAAACTAACTTTCTTGGCCTCAGCAGCGATTTTCTTTCCGTTGACGCGATCGAAACCAAGCGTGAGTGCGGAAAAGAAACATTCGCGAACGAGCGACCACGGATTGTTGGAACCAGTCATAAGTGCAATCAACTAAACGAGAAATGTTAACGAAATCTAGATATAGCATACTTGAAGCACGATCGAAATCCTTGCCAAGCGTCGAATCCGTTCCGGGGTTGCGGCCGGGTCATGGGGCGGACGGGGCTTGGGGGCGCGAACCGGGGACCGAGTGCGGCTCGAGGCCGCCACTCCGCCACGCCGGCCGCGCCTTCCGGCGCCGCCACGTCCGCGCCTCGCCGGCGCCCGCACCGCACGCGCCACCCGCACCGGCGAAACAACCGGCGAAACCACCGCCGCAACAACCGGCTCCTCCACGTTCTAAGATTGCAAATTAAAATAACGTAGAGAGTAGGAAATAACTTTAGAAAAGGCAACTGACATTAGATAAGGAATCAACTTTTGAAAAGGGAAATAACTTTAGAGAAGGACTTAACTTTAGACCCACAGAACTATAAGAAACAAGAAAAAAAACTAAACTAACCTCCTCTTCGGCAACCACGGGCGTTCCTCCAACACTGGCTGATCGTCGTCGCAAAACCGGCGGCGAGTCCGCTCCACGACGGCGCAAAGTTCGCTTCAGCATCTCCATTCCGACCGCGTTGAGATGAGGCATCGTTGAATATGAGATCTGGAAGTATGAAAAATGATTAAATAGGCTAGAACATATGTAAATCGGGAAAATTAAGATGTAAAATCAGCGAATAATGAAAGAAAGAAAGAAAGAAAGAAAGAAAAAAAGAAAGAAAGAAAGAAAGAAAGAAAGAAAGAAAAAAAGAAAGAAAGAAAGAAAGAAAGAAAAAAGAAAAAAAGAAAGAAAGAAAGAAAGAAAGAAAGAAGGATGGAAAGAAGGAAAGAAGGAAAGAAGGAAAGAAGGAAAGAAGGAAAGAAGGAAAGAAGGAAAGAAAGAAAGAAAGAAGGAAAGAAAAATGAAAGAAAAGGGCGGTGAAATGTGAAAATGAATTAAAAATGAATTAAAGTTAAGAAAGCTAGAGGGGAGAGACGCAGAGAGGAAAAGACGAAAAGAGCAACTTTTAGGAAACGGGCAAAGGTTAATAAGAAGGGTCTTTTTATTAACCTTTATAAAAAGGGTTAATAAAAAGGTATCCGGCGCGGATAAAATTTATCGGCAATTTAGCACTGACGTCTTGCCGAGAGACATTTGGGGTTAGAGAGCATGCAGCAACCTTATGCCCGCCTTAGAGGACCCAAGGTTGCTGCATGCTCTCTAGCCCCGAATGTCTCTCGGCAAGACGTCAGTCTTGGTTCTCTCTTGATAGAGTTAGTTCCTCTCTTATTCTCTCTTTAGTTGGTTCCTTTTATTCTAGAGACTTTTTTGGAGGACCGCAGATTCGTCCGCATTGGATAGAAGATGAGATAGAAGAGAGTGTTTCCGTTGCCAATGAATGAATGTAAGATGTCGAAGGGAGTATGGATCGAATCGAATATGCTAAAACATTACTTGATTGCTAGATTTGCTAGCTCGCTTTACTAGCTTTACTAGCTCGCTTTAGTAGATTTGCTAGCTCGCTTTACTAGCTTTGCTTTCAATCCTCTTACCTTACAATTTGCTTTAGATTATAGATGAACCAAAAGGTTAAATCAACCAGGATGAATAGGGTTAGAAAGACGATGAAGAATGCCTGTAAAGATCAGAAATTATTAAGATAATCAATTAAGATAATTAATTAAGATAAAAAGGTTTATTGACTGGTTTAAGACTGGATTTATTAGACTGGTCCATAAGTCTTGGTAACACTTTGTTCTTTCGAAAGAAATGTTTATGTTCCCTGTTCCCTTTCCCTGTTATGTTCCCCGTTCTGTTCACATCCAAAAAGTCGGTTTATCAGTCTCTTTTCAAAACATTTCATACGCAGACTTCAATGCTTCAATGCTTCAATGATCCAATGCCCCAATGTTCCGATCCTTCAATACTCCAATGCTTCAATCCTTCTATCCTCCAATACTCCAATGTTCCAATGCTTCAATGCTACCCCAGATCTTCCACCAGGAGATCTGAGACACGTTGTGTTGTATCAGTTCAAAGGATCTTCTTTCCGGTTTAGAATAATATTGAAAACGTTCCTTCGTTCCTTCGCAAAACACAATTCAACGTTGGTTTGTCAAGTTGAGAAATGATGAGAATTCCCTTGAAGACGAAGAACGTACGTGAAGAGCGGGAAGACCTTCTCAATTGAAATTGAAATTGAAAAATGAAGAGATTCTTTAAAAAATTCAAGACAACCGCATTTCTACTTGTGAAATAGCGGATGCGGTTGGGTATTCACATTTAATTGAAAGCCACTTTTATGAGCTGGGCTTTAAGTCAATCTTTGGTCAATGGGTACCTCATGCACGGCTTAGGCTTAGGTTTAGGCTTAGGTTTAGGCTTAGGCTTAGGCATAGGCATAGGTTTAGGTTTAGGCTTAGGCTGAGGCTTAGGTTGGGTTTAGGGTTAGGCTTAGGCTTAGGCTTAGGCTCAGGCTCTGGTGCCCAGGAAAGGCAGAGATTATCAGTTACCGCTGTTCTTGTCAAGTTCCTGTCAAGATCCTGTCAAGATCCAGTCAAGTTCCTGTCAAGATCCTGTCAAGTCCCTGTCAAGATCCTGTCAAGATCCTGTCAAGCTCCTGTCAAGATCCTGTCAAGATCGTCAAGATCCACCAATCCAATATTTCAAGCTCAAAATCAGAAACAAACTCATAAAACTACCATAGATTGAACCTCCTAATCTAGACTGAATACCTTAATCCAGCTAATCTTAACTGAATCCCTTAATCTAGACTGAATACCCTAGTCTAGACTGAATACCGTAATCCGTAATTTGTTTATCTCAAGCAAATGCTTCAGAAAAATGCAAATGCTTTGTTTTTACCTCTCTTAAAAGCCAATTGAACGTTTTCATCTCGTAATAAAGTGTCTTTGAAAACAAAATATACAAATGAATAACCAAAAAGTCGATTGGGAACAAAATTGCATAGGTGAACACCCGAATTTCGAACCAAATGCCTTGCATAAATACCTAAAACCATTCTTTTATCTTTGAATTTCTTTTATCTTTGAACTTCTTTAACCAACCTGTTCCCTTTCTTTAACTAACCTGTTCCCTTTCTTTAACCAACCTGTTCCCTTTCTTTAACCAACTTGTTCCCTGTCTTGAACTAACCTGTTCCCTTTCTTCAACCAACCTGTTCCCTTTCTTTAACTAACCTGTTCCCTTTCTTTAACCAACTTGTTCCCTGTCTTGAACTAACCTGTTCCCTTTCTTTAACCAACCTGTTCCCTTTCTTTAACCAACTTGTTCCCTGTCTTGAACTAACCTGTTCCCTTTCTTTAACCAACTTGTTCCCTGTCTTGAACTAACCTGTTCCCTTTCTTTAACCAACCTGTTCCCTTTCTTCAACCAACCTGTTCCCTTTCTTTAACCATCATATTAAACCCAAACAACGAAAGAATATAGTTGAGTGTGATCATGAAAACGCAGATTGAGAAGAGAACGACAAAACGGTAGAATGTTCGTCGATAGGAGGCAATGTAGTGCTAAAAAACGGCCCCAGAAGCCCAGAAAAGTTAATCATTTAAGCTTCTCAAGGCTTTTCTTAAACTTACCAAACTAAAAACGACTTTAAAAGCCTCTACTTCAAAAGGATGTACTTCAAAACCAGATGACAAGTTGCCTTCATTGCTTACCTTATTCGCTTTTCATCTATGACTTTTAAAACTTAATTTGTATTTAAAAAGCTTGTTTTAAAAGCTTTCCTAGTAATTTCTTTTATTTCTTTTAAAACTTTGAAACTAAAGCTTCGTTTACACTTGAAAAAATGAGAGGAAAAAGTTTTTTGTTCAATTTTTTTTGTTCAAATTTGATCAAGTTGATTGATTGATCAAGTTTTTCTATGTTTTCACAAGAACATTGCATATTGTAAGTCACTAAAAACTAGTTTAGCTAAATTTGATTAGATTTAAAAAGCAAAATGACCTGGTTAAGTACGTTTGAAAGAGCTGAGCCTGGCTAAGTATGTTTGAAAGAGCTGAGCCTGGTTAAGTACGTTTGAAAGAGCTGAGTCTGGCTAGGTACGTTTGAAAGGTCGACCCTAGATCTCACCCTCAAAAGCACCGATTTCGATGGTTAATTTATCATTTTGTAGGAGAACTAGAATAATTTCGATGGGTGCCATAGGATTCGATGATTTCGATTCGATTCGATGATTCGATTCGATTTGATGATTCGATTCGATTTGATGATTCGATTCGATTTGATGTTTCGATTCGATGCCTCCGTGCGGCCGCGTAGGGCCGGGTACCAGCGTAGCTAGTAAATTAGTATTTACATGAAGATGGCTATGCGGTTTGCAAGACTTATGACTTTAACAAGAATTTTTTTTACAAAAACCAAAAGACTTGACACAGCCCGGGCGCGAACCGGGACCAGTTGACTTAGAGCGTACTAACCGTAATCCGTTCGATACCGTAATCCAGACAGTCTAGACTGAATACTCTAATCTAGACTGAATAGCTTAATCTAGACTAAATCCCGTAATTTATCTATTCTAGCCTGAATATCCTATTCTAGATGGAATACCGTAATCCGAGCGTACTAACCAATTGGCCATACTAACCGTACTAACCAATTGGCCATACTAACCGTACTAACCAATTAGAGCGTACTAACTAATTGGCCACGAGGATATATCTTTGAGGCTCGCAAGATCGCTTAATACGCTTGCGGCCAGATAACAAAAACTTAAAAAAACCTTTTTTTTCAACAAACAAACGTCAAAGGGGTTAAAAATGGAGAATTTGAACCCATTGCACAGAAAAGACTTAGGTATTAGATTGGATATTCGAAAGCAGCGAAAAATTTGCTACAAAATAGGCTAGATGCAACTTTGAAACTAACTAACTAAATAACTAACTAATTAACTAACTAAATAACTAAATAACGAAATAACTAACTAACGAACTAACGAACTAATTAGCTAACTAACTAACGAACTAACTAACTAACTAAATAACTAACTAAATAACTAACTAAATAACTAACTAACTAACTAAATAACTAACTAACTAAATAACAAACAAACTAAATAACTAAATAACTAAATAACTAACTAACTAAATAACAAACAAACTAAATAACTAAATAACTAAATAACTAACTAACTAAATAACAAACAAACTAAATAACTAAATAACTAAATAACTAACTAACTAAATAACTAAATAACTAACTAACTAAATAACTAACTAACTAACGAACTAACTAACTAAATAACAAACAAACTTAATAACTAAATAACTAACGAACTAACTAACGAACTAACTAAACAACGATTCAAGGAATATAAAAACGCATACGAAAATCCCCGAAAGCTTTGAATCTTTGAATCTTTCGAATCTTATTCTTTATTCCATTTTCTACCAGCTACCTTTTCGTAGACATCGACTCGAAGATCGGACTTCGAAAAACACAAAAACAATCGCTCAATCAATCCATACTTTTGCCAATAGAATAAGCAAATCTGAAAATTGCGAAAATTAAACGATAAAAACGATAAAACGAACGAAAACGATAAAACTAAACAATAAAATTAAACAATAAAATGAAACGATAAACTCAATTTGAAAATTACCATCGAAAAACTTGAATGAAAACTCCAAATGATCGTTAGAATCCCCATTGAACTGATCTCAATCGGACCGGAGAAAGTGATGTACAAGTCTTGGCACATCAGCATTATGCCTAGTGTTTGTTTTGTGTTTTAAAGAGCAATTTTAAAGAACAATCTTTACGCACTCGTAATACAAACGATCAACATGAGCAAACAGTTCCGGATTCTAAGCTTATTTATAGACATAGATTGTGAAATTTATGTTTATAAACAACGGCTTATTTATAGACATACATTTTAAAATTTATGTCTATAAATCTAGGCTTATTTATAGACATAGATCCTGATATTTGTGTCTACAAATCTAGGCTTATTTATAGACATAGATCTTGATATTTGTGTTTATAAATCTAGGCTTATTTATACACATAGATTGTGAAATTTATGTTTATAAAGAACGGCTTATTTAAAGACATACATTTTAAAATTTATGTCTATAAAGAAAGGCTTATTTATAGACATAGATCCTGATATTTCAACTAAAACTTTCTTTGATATGTTTATCATTGATTGTTGATTGTTGATTGTTGATTGTTGATTGTTGATTGTTAATCATTGCTACGTTTTCAATGTATTCCAATCTTTACCAATTCTAATTCTCTTTACCAATTTCATATTCCGATTCGTCGCATAATCGAGACCACAAGTGAAAAAATATGGAATAGCAGGGATAAAATGGCGTAACTTTGCATACAAATAGGCGTTTGTTATGAATTGAAAGATTGCTAGTTGCATGGATACTCTTAGAATATATGGGAAGATGAGCTGAGCAAATATCTCAGATGAGGTATCTCAGGTGAGGTATCTCAGGTGAGGTATCTCAGGTGAGGTATCTCAGGTGAGGTATCTCAGGTGAGGTATCTCAGGTGTTAACGAGGTGTTAACAAGATAAGACTGCGGTATCGGAGTTTTTTTCTCATATCCCGGCTTCCAATGAACCGATCAACTTGAATCTTAAAATCTTCCTTAAAATGTTCCCAAGAACCTCGTACAAGAAGCTAAAGAAACCGCAAAATACTTAGGTTAAAAACCTCAAAAAACTCTAGAAAACTCTGAAAATTCAGAAAATTCAGAAAAGAAAGCAGAAAGCTGGAATCTATGAAAAATCAAAGGAAAAAACTGCAGCACTTGGGGGGGGGGCTATTACTAGCCCCCCAAATCCCCCCAAGCACTCCCCGGTGAGGGAGGGGGTCACCCTGAGCTATCTTGGAGGATTCACCCTTACCTCAAGCTCTGACGAAGACGCGCCACCGCAATTGCTCCGCCAGGGAGCAATTGCCCCTCAGCTTTCCGACATGGATATTTACTTTATTTTCGTATTTTTTCAAAGTCAGAGCTTTCACTTTTTAATTGATTTTTGCTTTAGATCATGGTGGATAAAAGTATGTTCTGCGCACGTGTCTTCTCTATGACTTCAAAATGGGCAAAAACGCTGCTGATTCACATCGTGATCTCTGTTGCGCCTTTGGGGAACAGGTTATCACCGAAAGATCATGCCAGCTCTGGTTTGCCCAATTCCGAGATGGTAATGAATCCCTTGAAGACGAATCCAGACTAAATCGAACGTCCGATATAGACTGTAATCTAAATCAAACGTCCGCGATAAGTTCAATCTAAATCGGACGTCCGATTTAGATTGAATCTACATCGGAATTTTCTTCTACAAACAATTTACAACTTTATTTTCTTATTTTGTTTTGGCTTTGTTCGTTCCACGGATGTGGACGGTTAAATTCAATTTTTCAAATCAAATCAAAACTAAAACTTTCTCAATTAACAATTAACATTAATATTATCATTAACAACTAACAATTTATAAATTTTATATAAAATTTTGTTAAACTATAAACTATTAGGTGTGTGAAAAAGTAATCCACGTTTTTTATTTTTATCTGATGACAAAACAAGACGCTGTCTTCTCGAAAACCCTCGTTCAACCTCTTCAGAAATAGGCCTTACATTAAATTGTGATGGGTCAGCCGTCAGGAAACGCTTGAATGCCATGAATTTTATCAAAAAGTTGGACAAATGGATACCGCATGAACGATAACGTGCGACCACATGTCTCTTTACAGACTCGACAAAAAATCCAGAGTGTTGGATGAGAGATTTTACCACATCCACCTTATAGTCCAGACCTTCCTCCATCTGATTATTATTTATTTTTGTCTCCAATATGGTTCCAATATGGTTCCAATACGGTTCCAATATGTTCCAATACGATTCCAATACGGTTCCAATATGGTTCCAATATGGTTCCCATATGGTTCCAATATGGTTCCAATATGGTTCCAATACGGTTCCAATATGGTTCCAATATGGTTCCAATACGGTTCCAGTATGGTTCCAATATGGTTCCAATATGGTTCCAATATGGTTCCAATACGGTTTCAATATGGTTCCAATATGGTTCCAATACGGTTCTAATATGGTTCCCATATGGTTCCAATATGGTTCCAATATGGTTCAGATACGGTTCCAATATGGTTCGTTTTTAAACGTTCAATTCCGAAGAAGATGTCAAAACCGAGGTTGATCTTTTCTTCGCCTCTAAGGACCAAGATTTTTATTATCGTGGAATGTCTTTACTTGTAGAACGTTGGCAAAAGGTTGTTCTTTCGAATGGTGATTACTTCGTTGAATAAAAATTGTTTTAACGAAACTTATGGTCCTTTATATTTAAACGTTAAAAACGTCGATTACTTTTCCACACACCTAATATAAAACTATAAATTCCCGAAAACTCAACGCTAAAAGGCACAAGTGCCATTTTTTTTTGTTTCAAGTGGGGCCTTTTATTTAGAGCTAGAGGCAATAAAAGCTCAAATTTCCATCAATATCATCAAAATGCCACCAATATCATCAAAATGCTACAGATTAACAAATTCTAAACTTATATTGATTATTTTAAAGCTCTAGAATGAATCTGAAACGCCAGGCTTCTTATGTGAGTTTACAAGAAGTAGTCCGCTGCAGCGCGCTGGCTGGTTACGCGTTTCAATTTTTAAAAATCTTTTAAAGGGGGTATTAATCGCGGACGGGTGACCATAAAAAATTTTTTACAAAAAATAGAAGACCCTTTTGAAGGGAGGTTGAAAAGTAGAAAACCAATCTCCAATAGAAGACCCAAACTCTTAAAATGCACTATTTTGCTATCGTATCCCGCTAGTACCCACATTTTCTTGCAAAAATTCGGCAGTCATTTCATTCTGCAGTCATTATTTCTTTACTACTAGTAATCTTTCAATTCTTGTTTCTTGTTTCTTGTTTTTAAAATAAGTTAATATAAGTTCAAAGTCTGATAAGATTTCAGCACGAGGCCCTCGACTGGGATTTGATCTTCGATGATCACGAGAAAAATGACGGTGACGAGAAGTTGCCCTTTCATTCGGCGGTGCTCCAGCAACGAATGAAACAGTTCTTTTTGGTGAGTTTTGATTATAGTTTTGTTTAAGTTTTGTTTAAGTTTTGTTTAAGTTTTGTTTAAGTTTTGTTTAAGTTTTGTTTAAGTTTTACTATTTCGAGTGATTTCAGGTTTCTCGTTTCTTCTGCGCCCGCTTCAAGCCAAGCGATCCGCCATGGACGCGTATCAAGAATCAGCTGATGATGGGAGTTATTCTTGGTGGATGTGAGTTAGAAAAGTCAAGTAAAAGTACCCAACGCATCAAACAGAACTTCTTTTTCAGGCATTCTCTTCCTCTTCTTCGATTCCTTTGTCACATTCAGTCATGGCTTGGATCGAGCGCCGACTGGGGTCGTTTTCATCTCCTTCAACATGCAAGCCACGTTTTCTGGGGTTAACTTACTAATGGAAGATGCAGAAACAAGAAAACAACAATTTCAGTTCTGTTTGATCTATTGGCAGAAGCGGAAACAGCTGAAGAGTTTGTTCAATCTCTTTGTCAAAGCCGACTCAGGAAACGAGCGATTTAAGAAGGTTTGGCTTTGTCGGTGTACTGTTTTAGCTATTTTAACTAGCTAGGCATATTAATGGGCCTTCAAATTTTGAATCCCAACAAAATACTCTTGCTAGCAGACGAGAAACATTCATTCCAGGAGATCCTCTCGGCCCATCGTAGAGTTTTCATTCGTTTCTGTGTCATGTTGGGCATTTTGTTCTGGATGATCGCCCAGTTTGTTGTCGGAGCGATTTTCGATTGGCGACCGCATATGGCAAACGAGGAGAAGGTAGATTTAGGAGGAAATACTAGAAAAATGATCAAATCCAAGTACTCTGTTTGACTTTTAAGCTTTTGATATACTTTTGATATACTTTTGACATACTTAGCGTTAAGGTTTACTACTGAATTTAAGTGTGATTTAAAATTTTACAATTTTAATAGGACCATCGCACTTTCAAATAAAAAAATTTCGTCCTCTGAAGTAATCCGCAGTTTCTTTTGCAATAGATTTTCCAGCATTTCGTCGAAGGCAGTCAAATCTTTGTCCGCTCATTCTTCTGCTCGATAGCTTTTGCTCTTCACTATATCGTCATGCATTTGTATGTGATGCTGGCAACGGGAGTTTTTTGGGAGATGAAAGCGTTCAATTGGATGTTGGCTAAAGTGAGTCAATGGCTTGAAATTTGATCTTCTCTTTTCATTTTCACCTTTTGTTTGTTGCGCTAATATATAGGGTCCTTGCAAAAGAAACTGCGGATTATAACCAACATTTGAACAACCCAATTCATGTGGGACCCATTGGTCACAACGATTCCTTTTTCCAATAAGCGCAAGGTGTCGAGAAATTGTGCTCGAATCACATTTAAAGTATTCGGCTAATTCGGGCAAAGTTTGAGTTGGATCCAACTTGACAATCTCCAGCAACTCCGCATTATCGAAGACAACTGGACAACTGGACAATATCCATGAGGCTCATCTTCCAAGCTGCCATCTCCTTCACGAAAACGTCGAAACCATTCCTGGCAAGTTCTTTCACTCAAAATGTTTTCTCCGAATGTTTCACAAAGATTCCGGTGCGACTTCGATGCTAATTCCTTCATTTTGAAGTCATAGAGAAGGCACGCTCGCAACATGAGTTTTTGATTCGCCATCTTCTACCCAAGATTATGTAATATTTAATGATAGCAATAGTTGTGAAAATAATTAAAATGAATAAGCAATAGTAATACAATATAATACAATTTAAACCGGACCATCACACTTTCAAATAAAAAAGACTTTGGTCCTCGGAAGTAATCCGCAGTTTCTTTTGCAAGTCCCTAATAGTAAATTAGTGTGCAGAAAAGTTAGTACAAAGTATACTCGAAAAGTTTTCAGCTTTCCGATGAGAAGCACGACTTTAAAGTTTCATTAAAGGAAGTGATTCTAAAACATGCTCGTTTGACAAAAACGATCGTTCAACTGAATCGGATCTTTTCGGTGAGTGGTTGCGAATAAAATAAACAGATGGTGACCTCAAAATAACATTAACACACAAAGTTACTTACATACAAAGTTTTATATTAGGTTGTCTAGTTATAGGTGTTTCTAGTTATAAATGTGCGTTTTTAAGATAACTCTTGATTTTAAAAGCAACAATTTAACAGCTCAATAACTTTAACAACAATGTTAACAACTTTATGTTCATCATTAGTGAACAAAATTTGTTTCCATCTTCCATACAAAGAATGAATTCCCTTAGCTTGTTGGCTTGTTGACTTGTTGGCTTGTTGGCTTGTTGGCTTGTTGGCTTGTTGGCTTGTTGGCTTGTTGGCTTGTTGGCTTGTTGGCTTGTTGGCTTGTTTTAAGGCAAAGAAAGCTATTCATTTTTCGACCTCTTAAACATCTTTGAACTTGTTTCTAGCTAAACGTTTTTGCATTGAGCGAAATAAATGGTAATTCGAAGGATTCTTCTTTGTTTTCTCAATTCTTCCCGTGGAGAAACATTCAAAGAATATAGCGGATGCAGGAGAGATTCCCAGCCCAACTCTTCGAGTTAATCCTGAACAATCTTTGCAACTTGTGAATGAGCGATGATGCATTATCTTGAATGAACTTTATGTTTCAAGGATCAAGGTTTTTTTGTAGCAATACCTTTTTGTAGCTTTTTGTGATTCACTCGTTCAAGTTGTTCAAGTTTTACCCGTGATTGTATGTCCAGGTTTAAGCAGCTCAAAACAAGCAATGCCTAGGGAATTCCACCAGACAGTAAGGATGACTTTCTTGCCGTGAAAGTCGGGCTTTGGTGTTAGTATTGGCTCTTCACCAGATTCTAGCCATATCAACACGTTGCCGTTGCTGTTGCTGTTGCCGTTGCCTCTGCCGTTGCCTCTGCCGTTGCCTCTGCCGTTGCCTCTGCCGTTGCCTCTGCCGTTGCCTCTGCCGTTGCCTCTGCCGTTGCCGTTTTCGTGTAGAATTATCATATTGAATCCATTTTTCATCGCAAGTAAGGATCTCATCGTAAAATCCAGTATTTTTTTGCCAAACAAAGAAAATACTGGATTCGGTTCGGAAAGCCAGTGTCGCCGATGGTTTCAACGATTTCGAGAAGGAAATGAATCTTTGGAAGATGAGGACCAGCAACGACAATCGTTGCGTCGTTGCGAGCCAGCGAGCCAGCCAGCCATCGTCATATCCACTAACGACAGCCATAGTGAACGAGTAGCTTTATTGACATTACTGAAGATGAGGAGCCCATTTCCCTTGTCGGCTTATTTTCCCCAATTGATATAAATGCTCAAAAATTGTTTGAGGGCTTGCTTCAAATCTTTCTCCAAATACAAGTTCACGTGTAGTTTGTCGAAAGTCAATTTCGATCACCTGCTTCAGTACTGCATTATCGATTGCAGGAGGATGTCGTTAGTGGATATGATGACGGCTCGCTGGCTTGCTGGCTCGCAACGACGCAACGATTGTCGTTGCTGGTCCTGATCTTCCAAAGATTCATTTCCTTCTCGAAATCGTTGAAACCATCGGCGACACTGGCTTTCCGAACTGACGACACTGGCTAGCATCTTCCCCAAATATTTTTCAGAGATCTCGAGGAGATTCAGCAGCGTTTTTGCCCAATTTGAAGTTATACCAAAGGCACGGAGACTAAACTTTGTGTCTCCAAAGGCACGGAGACTAAACTTTATGTCTCCAAAGGTACGGAGACTAAACTTTGTGTCTCCAAAGGCACGGAGACTAAACTTTGTGTCTCCAAAGGTACGGAGACTAAACTTTGTGTCTCCAAAGGCACGGAGACTAAACTTTATGTCTCCAAAGGCACGGAGACTAAACTTTGTGTCTCCAAAGGCACGGAGACATCTAAACACAGAAATTAAATCAAAAATTAATTGATTTTGTCAAAAACACGAAAGAATTGTAATAAATAAGGAAATCTGAGCAGCATATAGAGGATTAGGCTTGATAAAATTGTATAGCTCTGAGGTATGCTGTTCAAGAGCAGGCGCGCATTCATAACTGGACAACCTAATACATCCAGCGTCAGGATCAGAATCTGAGTCAAAACCAGAGTCACGAGGAAAAGATTTCAGTGTATTTTCAAATCTGTGAAAACATTTTTTTAAAAATTGCTAAAAAATAAGAATTGTTAGTAGATTTTGGATTTATTTTATTTGTTAGTAACGAACTTTTTCCATCAGAGAGCGAAGCTAGTACCCCAGAGCGAAGGTAGTACCCCAGAAAGATATGTTTTTAAGGTTAAGTACAAATAAATCCACTCCTCTTACAGATCTACGCTTTCTACATGGTTTCCACAACAGTGCCAACATTTCTTTTCTCTTTGATCACCATCGCTAGAAGAGCCACACTGTTTGAGGCATTTCTGACGGTTCCGTCGCTGATTTTTTGCACTTATGGATACTATTCGTGGACGGTTGTGCCGGCTAAATTGCATGAAGAGGTTTGGAAAGGAGAGTCACTACTCTTTAATGATCATCTAAATGAACGGTTTTTCTGAAACCTCTTCAATAGGCTGAAGAACCACGGTAGACAATGCGAAAATGCGTTTTCTATCGGATTTTTCTAGGAGTACCTTTTTTAGATGCGAAAAATTGTGCTGATTCCGAATCTGAAGGAATTTTTCAAATTCCTTAATTGTTTTGAGTGAATACGATACATAGCTACATTGTTCTTTTGAACAAAACAATTGTGCAATAGAGAATTTTTTAGATTTTCTCATTTCTTTTTTAAAAAATGTTATAACTTTTTGTAGAGTTGAGCAAATTTGATGATTTTTGCATCAAAATGTTCGTAAGAGTCTCTAGAATAAAACTTGTCCCTTCGTTTTTGGTTCTAGACCCTTGTTGTCGAGTTACGAGCTCCAAACTGCAGGGTACCACAAAATTTCCCATACAAAATGACCAAAAAACCGCTACAACCAAATTTAAAAAATTTCTGTCAGAGGGATTTGAAAAATTCCTTCAGATTCGGAATCAGCACAATTTTCCGCATCTAAAAAAGGTACTCTCAGAAAAATCCGATAGAAAACGCATTTTTGCCTTATTTCGCGCCGATGTGCGATAGGTTAACTGTTCAGTCAATCGGTTCAGATTTACAAATCGAAATCGTTGCTCTGCATGAACGAGAGGATCTGGGAGAGCGAGGATCGAGAGGTGAATGAGAGATGAGGAGGTTTTTTGCTTGCACTTAAGTCCAGACAGCCCAGACAAAGCCTGCAAAGCCCAGACAAACATACTTAACAACCTCGTGATAAAGCATTTATCATAACAGGGTGTAAAGAAGATAATGCGCGTTTTTTGATCAAAACTATTTATTGAAAAAAACTCAAACACGCCCACCAGTTTTGTAACGATCCGGAAATGAACTTTGCTTCCGTTGTTTCCATTCAATTCCCCAAACCATATTTAATTAGTTTTGGCCTTTATTATGGAGCTTTTCATAGCTGGACGGATATAGAAATGATAGAAAAGTAGAAAAGTCAAGATTCTGTCGGAAAAATCGTGTGATTTGCAGTTGCAGTTGCAGTTTGCAGCAAGATAGAGCACGGGCTGTCCACGATGAGCCACTGGCCGTCTCCCACTTGCCACTAGCCACTTGAAACCATTGACAACGCTGACTTTCACTGAAATAATCATCTCCAAAAGCTTTGGAGATGATTGGCAAGATGGATTTTTCCTTGTAGAGCATGAACTTGTTGTCATCATTTTTTTTTTGCAGTAAAAACTAGCGAAGAAGGGAAATGATTATAAATCTAATAAGTGTTTAGTTTATTTTTGTTTAAAACATTACATAAGCAAACGCTTGGCAATTGCCAACGCTGGGAAATTCAAAGCGCGCATTATTTTCTCTATACCCTGATAGAAATTGATTGACAAGGGTACTTGTGTGACTTTAGAAGTGTGAAACTAGTGGCACCAATAGTAGACTTGTCAATCGATTTCTATGATAATTCCTTTACGTAATTTTGCTAGCTTTTGAAATTCTCTGTTCCTTCAAAGGCAATTCTCTGATCCTTCAAAGACAAAATTCAATTTCCAGGTAATGGCAATTGCCAGGACCCTCGCTATACATTTGGATCAGCCCGACTTGGGGATCTCTCTCTGGGGCTTCACCATGGTCTCAAAACCGTTGATTTTGACGGTACTATAGCTTTTGACGGTACTATAGCTTATACAATTGCTACAGTTTTTGATTGCATTCTTAAATAACAGCACCAAGCGGCTATCCTTTATGGATTACAAAGGCTTTGACAACAAATGAATCAAAACATGAGCAAGCAAGAGTAAGCAAGAGGAAGCAAGAGGAAGCAAGAGGAAGCAAGAGGAAGCAAGAGGAAGCAAGAGAAAGCAAGAGAAAGCAAGAGGAAGCAAGAGGAAGCAAGAGTAAGCAAGAGGAAGCAAGAGGAAGCAAGAGGAAGCAAGAGGAAGCAAGAGAAAGCAAGAGAAAGCAAGAGGAAGCAAGAGGAAGCAAGAGGAAGCAAGAGGAAGCAAGAGGAAGTAAGAGGAAGCAAGAGCAAGCAAGCATGAGCCTCAGAGCAAGTCAAGTTCTACTGATTTGAGGATTAGATGCTATTTAATGCTTATTAGATGCTATAATTTGGACTTATTAAAGCGTAAAGAGATATAAAAATAGAATAACATGACAGTCAATTAAAAGAAACACGGAAAATGATATTTCTATTTAAAATTCCAGACCCTCTCCGTGTTGCTCACTTTCTGGGCTTTCCTAATCGAATTCAACAAGCGGCCAAGTGATCGGGACAAGGATTGCAGTACATAAAAATGGATTTAAATCAAATCAAATCAAATCAAATCAAATCAAATCAAATCAAATCAAATCAAATCAATATTCAAACGATAAAGTGAAAGAAATCATAGAGAAATGCACAGTGATACTTAATCATACAATACATACTGAAATCAATAAGCCAATTACTTACGGCAAAGAGCCACTAGATCTAAAGCATCGATACGTTTCTTGAATATGAAAAGCGACTGAATTTCTCGTATGTCGTTTGGGAGCAAGTTCCATAATCTAGCGGCTCTAACGGGAAATGAATTTGATAAAGAGGCATTGGAAGCAAAGGGAATTTGCAAAAGGAATGAGCCACTTCTGGGCCCTGACCGCGGTTTAAATTTGAAAAAGTCAAATCAAATCAAATCAAATCAAATCAAATCAAATAAACGTTTTTGAAAAAGAAAATTTACAATCTAAAGGCTCTAGGGAATAAATTTTAATGCTCGAGCAAATATATGCTCTTTTTAATCATCAGCATCTTGTGTTTATTTTTATATAATATTTTATTCATTTGCCTTTGTTTTATAATAGATATGTTGTTTTGCAGATGAAAGACAAAAAGTTTGTTGTCCGCGCATCAATGCTGTATGATTTCAAACGAGGTAAAACTGCAGCGGATTGCCATCGAACTATCTGTGCGGCATTTGGAGAGGATTCAATTTCAATCAACCAGTGCCAGCGCTGGTTTAAACGATTTGCGGACGGAAACGAGTCGTTAGAGGACGAGGAACGCGCTGGAAGGCCAGTCGTTTTTGATAACGAAGCTTTGCTTAACACCATTGAGTCTGATCCAACTCAAACTACTCGTGTGTTGACCGAATTATTTGGTTGTTCCAAATCAACAATCGACAATCATCTCCATGAGATTGGAAAATTTAATCGATGCGGAAAGTGGCTTCCCCACAAATTGAGTGAAGCGAATAAAGCTGCTTGAGATTGAGATTGAGAAGATTGAGAAGCTTGGATGGTCGACTGTCCCACATCCGCCGTATAGTCCAGACCTGGCTCCATCTGATTTCCATTTGTTCCGTTCGATGGCGCACGCTCTTGGAGAACACAAGTTCAAAAGTGTTGACGAGGTGCAAAAATGGCTCGACGATTTCTTCTCATCGAAACCAGCTTCATTCTATTATGACGGACTTCACTCTTTGCTCGGACGATGGAGAAATGTTGTTGATTGTTGTGGAGAATATATCGATTAATAAAGTTCTCTTTTGTTAATTTTGTGATATTTTGAAAATCGTGTCAAAACACGCATTACTTATTGGACAACCTAATATTAAGTTAAACAAAACTAAAAAAAGAAATAGTCGAAAACACAAATATATCGAAAAAAGAAATATGTCGAAAGTGAAAGTCCATTATTTTCACAAGAGTGAATGTTCAGTGTTAACCAAAGAATTTATTTGACCATGTGGAGCTCACTCTATTCCTATTTTACATCTTTTCTTTGATTTAATGAATTTGTGGCGAATAGCCACTAAAAAATTACCTAACTCTGACAGGCTAAAAATTGAAAAAGTATTGCGGAAATCCGTGCGCCTTCATTCTGGCCCCAAATCATTTATTGTTTTGTAGCTTGTTAGCTTTTGTTAAAGCTTGTTTTGTAGCTTGTTAGCTTTTGTTAAAGCTTGTTTTGTAGCTTGTTAGCTTTTGTTAAAGCTTGTTTTGTAGCTTGTTAGCTTTTGTTAAAGCTTGTTTTGTAGCTTGTTAGCTTTTGTTAAAGCTTGTTTTGTAGCTTGTTAGCTTTTGTTAAAGCTTGTTTTGTAGCTTGTTAGCTGAATATCTTTTGTTAAAGCCTATATGAACAAGAGTGCCTTAACTGAGTTGCCTTAACTGAGTTGCCTTAACTGAGTTGCCTTAACTGTTGTTCATTTGATTTTTGTTCACTTTTTCTGTTTTCCTTTCATAGCCTTCATAAAGTTCATAGCCTCCCTGGATAGACTACAGAACCCTTTAACGAAACCCACGATTTGTTCATTGTGATATCTCCTTGTGTGCCTTGATCTGTTCACTCCACTTCTCGCCCTTCTCCGATCTCGTTGTTCTTTTGTTTTCTCGGTTCATTCTTGCACCTAGAAGTTCGTTTAGATGATCTTGTAGCTGGGGCGGAGTCTTGGCTTTGTTCCTAGACAATCATTTGGTTCTTGTCTTGACAATTCTTGTCAAGACAAGAACTGTCTTGACAAGAATTGACCTTGGCCTAGATCTATCTCATTGCCAGGGTCAATGCCTAGTGAGACAGGAATGTTGATTTAGTCTAAACTAGGCCTATATGAACAAGAGTTGCTTTTGTTAAAGCCTATATGAACAAGTGTTGCCTTAACTGTTGTTCATTTGATTTTTCTTTCACTTTTTCTGTTTTCCTTTCATCGTGTGAAAGTTGTGTCCTAATTGGGCTTAGGCTTAGGCTTTACAGCATTGTTTATTTTCCTTCATAAGTTAATGTCCCGTTGGCCGCAGTAGCTGACCCAAATTGTTTCTGTTTTTTATCGTCGCTTTTAATTCAATTGTCGACTTTGTGAGAGCTCAAGTGAGAGCCCAAAAATCTCCGAGTTAGTCGGCTATTGTGTCTTAGATAAAGTGTCTTAGTTCTTAGTCGGCTATTGTGTCTTAGTTCAAGTGAGATCAGATATCTCGAAACAAGAAATAACGTGTTTTGAGTGAAGAGTACGAAGCACGCAAAGAATATTTTCTTCCTAAGTGAAGTATAGACTTCCTAAGTGAAGTTGATGCTGTACTGCTGATAATTTTTTGTGCACCAAACCTTTTAGCGGTTAGCTCAAACAACAAAAGTACAGCATTCTTTATTTTCCTTCATAAGTTAATGTCCTGTTGGCTGCAGTAGCTGACCCAATCCGAGCCGAATCAGCATGAGGTTTTCGAATCGTAATGGCAGTGTTGCTCAACCGCTTCACAGCCGTTTGCGGCCGTTCCTTTGACTTTCGAAGGAATAGAGCTGATATTATGCTAAAATTGAGCTTATTGTGGAAAAAAAAAGAACGCATTCGATACCTAGCAATTAAATGAAAAAAGAGAAACTGATTGAAATCGACGATAGCATCAAAGACAAATAGAGCATTAAGTCCAAAATAGAGAGCGAGCATAATCCCAACAATGTAAGCGAGAATATAGTTGAACCAGATTAGCATTGAGTTGGCCATCATCTAAGTTGGCTGAGTTGACCATGCTTTATTTCTTGATCTTTCTACAAGTTTTCGAGAAGACTACAAGAAGAAGGAAACCTCAAAAAGCAAAGATATTGTAGAATATCTCATCTGCAAATAGCACTAGTTGAATTCTCGATATCTTCAATATAACTTCGATAATCGGCTACGATATATGTCGTAGCCGATATACGAATTTTTTTGGCAAACCTTTCTAATAGAACAGCTCTAGAAGGACAATGTACTATATATAAAGATGCAGAGACGTCTGTCCGTCTGTCTGTGCGAAGCAGATGAAGAGACGTCTGTGCGAAGCAGGCAAAGAGACGTCTGTCCGTCCGTCTGTGCGAAGCAGACGAAGAGATGTCTGTCCGTTCGTCTGTGCGAAGCAGGCAAAGAGACGTCTGTCCGTCTATCTGTGCGAAGCATGCAAAGAGACGTCCATAAGGAGAAAGCTTGGCCTAAGCTTGGCCTAAGCTTGGACTAAGCCTTTTCCTAAGCCTTTCTTTCTCATTTCCTAATGATAAAATAAGATAAAAAGATCTTCATTTGTAAAGTGGGTCTTGTGTTTATCGTTGGTTAGTTTAATATCAAAAGTATTAGAACTCTCTTCAAAATTTTTCTTTTTTCACCGTTTCATTAGAGATTTTGTATAAAGGTTATCGAAAAACTGAGAATCGAGACTTTGACAGTCCTTACTAGACAACAACTAGACAACTAGACAACAACTAGACAACTAGACGACAACTAGACAACAAGACGACAACTAGACAACTAGACAACAATTAGACAACTAGACAACAACTAGACAACTAGAGAATATGAAATGTGCAAAGAAGTCTATGTAATCGAGAGAGACATTAGAGAGACATTAAATACCTGTATCATCAACAAATTCTCCGCTCTCGAAGTATTCCTGCCATTCTTTTTCAACTAAAACTTTCTTTGATATGTTTATCATTGATTGTTGATTGTTGATTGTTGATTGTTGATTGTTAATCATTGCTACGTTTTCAATGTATTCCAATCTTTACCAATTCTAATTCTCTTTACCAATTTCATATTCCGATTCGTCGCATAATCGAGACCACAAGTGAAAAAATATGGAATAGCAGGGATAAAATGGCGTAACTTTGCATACAAATAGGCGTTTGTTATGAATTGAAAGATTGCTAGTTGCATGGATACTCTTAGAATATATGGGAAGATGAGCTGAGCAAGTGGCCATCGACTGGTGTACCGGAAGTAAAGACCGTTAAAGGAAACGACGAGGAAACGGCTGGAATGCAGTTCTTTAGCGGCGGCTAGTTCTTTAGTTTAATGATTCAATTATGATAATGAAAGAATGACCCAGAGTGATCAACGAATCCGAGTTTTTAGTTCAATGAATTCGTTCAATGAGTGTTCCTAAATTCACCTACAATCTATTCCATTATTCCCATTTTTGAAAATAGACTGACGCTTCTCTAGCTTATAGATTTCTCATAGATTTCCCATAGATTGACCATAGATTGGCCATAGATTTCCCAGAGATTTCCCATAGATTTCCCATAGATTTCCCATAGATTTCTCATAGATTTCCCATAGATTTCCCATATTTCCCATAGCTTTTTAGTAGATTAGTAAATCCTTTTCAAAAAAGTGTAAACCTTATCAAGTAGAAAGTGATCTATAGTTGATTTTAGTGGATCTCAATGAAACAAACCTACGATCTCTGTAATCTTTACGATCTTTACGATCTCTGTAATCTTTACGATCTTTACAATCTCTGTAATCTTTACGACCTCTGTAATCTTTACGATCTTTACGATCTTTACGATCTCTGTAAAGGAAAATTTAAAAAATAGAGACCAGTTTTTCGAACTGGCAAAAAATAGAGATCGATTTAACGAAGCCATTTAACGAAACCAAGTTTTTCGGTAAACCTCAATTGACTATAACCCTTGACTATAACCCTAAAATAAACTTTACCTCAACGATATCAAGAATTGGCAGTATTGAGCAACATCGGTAAGGTCATACACGTTGACAAAGTCGTTGACAGCGAATACAGTAGCGTTAAATCCGTCAGAGCATCTAAGTCAGTAGATAAGTCAGCAGATAAGTCAGTAGATAAGTCAGCAGATAGTCAAACTAATTTATATCAAAAGCTAAATCAACCTTCTTGTTGGTATGTACTTATTTAACGGGGAAAATATTTAAATCTACTGTTCTCAGTGTACTGAAAAGATATCGTCATAATTTCTACTTCAATTAGCAATTATTAGGGTGCCCGGAATGAAAGTCCGGAACTTCGATTGCAATTTTTTCGGTTGCATTCTCGATTGCAATTTCAACTGCAGCTTCCCCTCTGATTTTTGTTTTGTTTTAAGGTCATAATTTCTACTTATCTTTTCTTTATATATCTTTTCTAATTCTATGTTTTTATAAAAATTTACTGCCTTACAATTTTGACTTTTTCGAATGGAAGATCAGAAGTACCGATTTCGGGTGTGCTTGCTCTACGACTAGAGAGGGAGACGAAACTCTACAGGATCCAGGACATGAGCATCCCCTCCAGCGCTCAACGATGACGATTTAGAATAGAAGATCAGAAGCACCGATTTCGGGTGTGCTTGCTCTACGACTTTAAATCAGGAAAAAGTATCTGGGAGAGCCATAGTTCAATCTTGAGATTTTTTGGAGAAGCTTCTTATTCAGAGGAAGCTTCGGTAGAAGTACCGATTTCGGGTGTGCTTGCTCTACGACTGAATCAGGAAAAAGTATCCGGGAGAGCGATAGTTCAATCTTTGGAGAAGCTGCTTATTTAGAGGAAGCTATAAAAAGCTGAAAGCTGTAAAAAATGGTTTCAACGACTTAGAGAGGCAGACGAAACTCTACAGGATCGAGGACGTGGACGACTACAGGACGAGACTCCCCTCTAGCGCTTAACGATGACGATCTTCGAAAAACCATAGAAGATGACCCAACCTTGTCGACTCGGGAGCTTGCAAAAATGTTTGTTGTAGGCCACACAACAATTGCGGACCATTTACATTGTTTGGGCAAAGGGAATCTCGTCAGAAAGTGGGTACCCCATCAACTTAGTGACGCTAATAAAACTACTCGGGTGACTATGGCCGGTATTCTTCTTCGTCAATCAAAAAATCGAGGTTTTTGGGACACTTTTGTGACGGCCGATGAAAAATGGATTTACTACGATAACCCATCGCGAAAAGAGCAGTGGTTAAGTCCAGGAGAACAGCCAAAAAAACGATGGATCCGGACGGAAGAAAGGCTATGTTATCTGTTTGATGGAATTCCCGTCGTCTTATATACTTTGTGGTTCTACCTTCTCTTCCAGCAGTCACCTCAGATCTATATGTGCTGGAGTAGACCAGGCTCTCAAGTAGACCAGGCTCTCAAGTAGACCAGGCTCTCAAGTAGACCAGGCTCTCAAGAATCAAGGTGTCAACACATCGACTGTGAGATATCTGCAAGATAACGTCTATACATAGCAAAGAAGACGCAGGAAAAACTCGAGGATATTGGGTTGGGAATGTCTCTCGCATTTGCCGTATCGCATCTGGCATCCTTAGACTACTGATTTCGATCTATGCAGCACTTCCTATCCGATAAACACTTCAAGGATCACGACGAAGTCCGAATTTGGATAGGCCAATACTTCGACCTCAGGCTTAGGCTACCTAAGCCTAAGCCTCAGGATTTCTTCAGCAAAGGGATCCGAGATTTGAAAGAAAAATGGAGAAAGACTATTGCCAACAACGGAGAATATCCTTTGGATTAAAGCGCATTGTTTTCTTTTTTGTGGAGATAAATTTGTTTTTCATTAAAAGGGTATTTTCATCCCGGACAACCTAATAAGTATCACTGCAAGAAACAGAAATCAACTACAGTCCTTTCTGCTACAGTTGCTACAGTTGCTACGGTTGCCTACTGCTTAGCATAACCCTAAATTCCTCGAAATCTCGAAATCTCGAAAACCGCTTATCAGAATCTATTGATGTGGGGTGTAGCTGACGTAGCTGACGTAGCTGTAGCTGACGATGAGATCTTGCTGGGGAATAGAGTGTTGAGCTTCTGGAAAAACTTTGGAAGCTGTAAAATCGTCATCAACTCGGCTCGCCGGGGTGCGATTAGAGAGAATTGCTTTAGATGCTTTAGATAGCTATTCGCTTTAGATTTTGTGATCAAACGAAAAGAAATTTGGGTTCTTTTCCGTTATAAATCCGCAAAATTTGCATTCTTCCATGAAAATCAACAAGGAAAACCACAGAAAGTTCATTCTTTTGCTCTTTTGCTTTGCTTTTTCTTTGCTTTCATTTCTTTTTGCTTTCTGAAGTTCATTCTTTTGCTCAAACCGATAATTCTTTCAACCGATCTCATTCTTTTAACAACGCCACATCTTGCTTACTGCTTACTGCTTGCTTACTGCGCCAATCATCATTAGCAAGCTATCGATCAATCAGAATTCACGATGGAGATCACAGTTACATTTACAGTAGTTACAATTACAGCAGTTACAATCACATTTACATCCGTTACAATTACATTTACAGCAATTGCATTAATTTCCACCTGAATAAATCAATCCTCGACTCACAAAAGTACCAAAAAAGAGCAATAAAAGCATAAACAAATTTATTGATGTTTTCGGCTACTGCTAGTAAACTAAAGATACTAATTAGATTAGCTAGCATCAGCAGATTAGCTGTATTTGTACCGAATCGCCAGTGATAGTCGATCATTGACAGCTGGGAAATAAATAGCGAATGGAGTTGTGAGAAGGCTCAACAATAAAACCTGAAACTCGTGTGAGAATTAGACACAATTTCATCAATGTCACAGAATTTCATACTCACCACAGTGGACATTCTGTTGATGATGAGCCAACTCTGATTGAGCAATTCGTCATTTGTATCCGGATCATTCTCGTGAATTCGCAATTGTTCAAAGAAAAAGTAAACAAGCAACATGAAAGAGACTGAAAAATTTTGAATAGGAAAAGATAGGGAATGGAAAGAAGATTATGGAAATCACATAAATTCTTTATGAATACCAAACATTCATGAATCTTTATGAATGTCAAAATTGGGATAAATATTCTTTGAGGGGATCTAATGGACCGACAATAAGTTGCTTGGGTTCTCCGAGATTCACCAAGCCTAGAGATTTGGATGCCTAGATTTGGATGCCTAGATCTGGATGCCTAGATTTGAATGCCTAGATTTGGATGACTAGATTTGGATGCCTAGATTTGGATGCCTAGATTTGGATGCCTAGATTTGGATGACTAGATTTGGATGCCTAGATTTGGATGACTAGATTTGGATGCCTAGATTTGGATGCCTAGATTTGGATGCCTAGATTTGGATGCCTAGATTTGGATGCCTAGATTTGGATGACTAGATTTGGATGCCTAGATTTGGATGACTAGATTTGGATGCCTAGATTTGGATGAAGTCTGGAAGGCCATTTAAAGGCCAAAAAAGGCCATTTAAAGGCCAAGAAAAGACCATTTAAAACGGGCCATATAAAAACCTTTTGTCGCTTCTGTCGCTGTAGCAAAGCTGCTTCTCATTAAGTTCTATCTCTTTCAGGCTCTTCCTGGTACTTACTAGGCCTAAAGCTCTCTCCTCCGTTGTCACTGATCAGCTCTCTCCTCCGTCAGAGGTTGTTACTGATCAGCTCTATCCTCCGCCAGTGGCTGTCACTGATCAGCTCTCTCCTCCGTCAGAGGTTGTTACTGATCAGCTCTATCCTCCATCAGTGGCTGTCACTGATCAGCTCTATCCTCCATCAGTGGCTGTCACTGATCAGCTCTATCCTCCGTCAGTGGCTGTCACTGATCAGCCCAGATCTGGTTATCTGGTCTAGTCTGAAAGTCTTTGTAAACTTGAGCCCTGGTTTTAAAGGTTAAAGACAAGTCAGTCAGTCATTTGCAGTCAAACCTCAATTTAACGCGCCACAATTTGTTCCGAGTGAATCGTTAAATTGAGGTTTATTTCATATTATTTAGGGATTGTGATTTGCTATTGTTAAATCGAAAGGTTTTAACTCGCAGTTCAGCCGTATTGTGGCCGTACTGTTCAGCCGTACTGTGGCCGTACTGTTCAGCCGTATTGTGGCCGTACTGTTCAGCCGTACTGTGACCGTACTGTTCAGCCGTACGGCGGTTTATATCTAAAAGAAAAGCAAAATAAACTTTGTAAAAAGTCTCGCTTCATCCCAGCTTCTTTTTTGATACTTAGCTTGATGGAAAAGCCTATTAAAACATCACAAACCTATTAAAACATTTGATATAACAAAGATTATTATAATATCTTGATATCTTTGCCAAAATGGAGACTTGGTAAAGGAAAACATTATTTTTGTGAAATAGGCTTTCAATATTCGTGTAATGATTGTGGGGAATCGGGTCATTTACGCAATTACTCACTGAAAACTAGGATAAGAGAAGGAATTGAGGGAATTTTATCGGGAAATTGAAAGACAAGATTGAAAGACACGATTGAAAGATTAAAATGAGGTCACAAGTCGGTTGCTAAATTTGTTTTTCATTGACGGAAGAATAGTTTTGAATGATTTATAAAGAATGAAGCTTTGTTTGAATGAAGCTTTGAACTTTGCTTGCTTTTTTTGGTATGCAAACAAAGATGGAGCTTGTGATTTTGTGTGGGAATTTTACTTTCAAAAAGAAAGAAAGATGATGAAGAAGATCAAGTTGATCCCTTGAAAGAAATGAAGAAGATGAAGATGATGAAGAAGAAGAAGATGAAGAAGATGATGAAGAAGAAGATGAAGATGATGAAGAAGATGAAGAAGAAGATGAAGGTGAAGATGAAGATGATTATTTGATGATTATTTGAACTGTTGCTGTTGGTCTATCACGCTGTTGGTCTATCTTGTGATGACGATTTCTCGGAAAGTATTGTCACCATGCTGATAGAACTCGTTTATGACAATTTTCATCCTTTTTCGATTACATTTTCACTATATAAATCTCTGTTTTGAATGCTTTTGAGAAAATAAATCTGAAACCTGTTATTCAATATGTTTCACGTTCCAATAAACGTAAAAAAATTCTCTTTTGAATATCAAGATCGATTACTTTCTTCAGATCGGTTACTTCTCTTCAAATTTGCTTTTAAAGTCAACTGTCAAGCTAGTCAAGCTAGTCAAGCTAGTCAAGCTAGTCAAGCTAGTCAAGCCAGTCAAGCTAGTCAAGCTAGTCAAGCTAGTCAAGCTAGTCAAGCTAGTCAAGCTAGTCAAGCTTTATAAATCAATTTTTGAACCGATTCCCAACAACAAAGAAAGACAACAGAGCTATAAATTTGATTTAGTTTATACAAGTCAAGCTAAAAGTCAAGCTAAAAGTCTAAATTTGATTGAATTCAATCATTTTACGAATTTGTACGCTCCTCGCTAATTCCCATTCAACCACGCATCAAATCTTTACGTTAGCTTGGCTTATTTCTATCTTTTTTTCATTACAAATTAAAAACAACAAACAAAACAACGATTAAAAGACGAAAATAAACTAAATGATGTCAAAATTTCGACTAATTTTTGAGGAAACTGAGGTACTTTGCTAATAAACAAAACTTATCAGTCTTTTGCAACAGACTGCAACAGACTTTTGCAAAAGACTGATAAGTTTTGCGGATCAAAAAAAACTTGCAAATCTTTTGAAAACAACTCACAGATCTATAGCAAAACAAACAGCTTCAGTTCTTATTGTAAACGGAGTTCTTATTGTAAGTTCTAAATCTTAAACCAATCAAAGTTGAGACTTTCTTTCAGTTCTTCTACAAGACAATGTCTTTTCATACTAATGTTATTCATGAGGATAAAATGATTTCAGGTAACCAAATACTAAGATAAGAGTTCCTTAAGCAAAGAGTTCCTTAAGCAGAGTTCCTTAATCAAAGAGAGGTTCCTTAATCAAAGAAAAAACCAATAACGGTTAATTATGATCAGATCCTTTCAGGTCAACTACCCTATAACATCAACAAAATCTACTCTGATCCAATTCCAAGTTTTCCTTCACCAAACTACCATTCTTGTGTAAGTCTTGAACTAGATAAAGTTGATTGTTAAAATCTAGAAAATTCAACAAACGATTTGGGCTCAACATCGGAGTCTACAAAAGGTATCAATAGAGAATTCTTTGAGATCCCATCAAACTGATCGCATAAACTTCTCCTCCATAAACATGGACGACATCTTTGACAGTTGTAACTCTGGCCCTACCCATTGAAGCTTTCTTTGAAAGTATGCGGTGAGAACCCACTTCTCATCTTCTGCCACTAAGCACGGCAAGAAAGATTTCCTCTCGTACTTGAGAAGAAGAACAGCGGTAACTGATAATCTCTGTCTTTCTTGGGCACCAGAGCCTGAGCCTAAGCCTAAGCCTAAGCCTAAACCTAAACCTAACCTAAGCCTAAACCTAAACCTAACCTAAGCCTAAACCTAAACCTAAGCCTAAGCCTAAGCCTAAACCTAACCTAAGCCTGAGCCTAAACCTGAGCCAGAGCCTAAGCCTAAGCCTAAACCTAACCTAAGCCCAAGCCTAAGCCATGCATGAGGTACCCATTGACCAAGAATTGACTTAAAGCCCAGCTCATAAAAGTGGCTTTCAATTAAATGTGAGTACCCAATCGCATCCGCTATTTCACAAGTAGAAATCCAGTTGTCTTGAATTTTTTCAAGAATCTCTTGATTTTTCTATTGAGAAGGTCTTCTCGCTCTTCCCGCACGTTCTTCGTCTTCAAGGGAATTCGTCCATTTCTCAACTTGACAAACCAACGTTGAATTGTGTTTTGAGAAGGAGTGAAGGAACGTTTTCAATATTATTCTAGACCGGAAAGAAGATCGTTTGAACTGATACAACACAACGTGTCTCAGATGTCTTGGGGAAGATCTGGGGTAGCATTGAAGCATTGGAACATTGGAGTATTGGAGCATTGGAGCATTGGAGCATTGGAGTATTGAAGCATTGAAGGATTGGAACATTGGGGCATTGGGACATTGAAGCATTATAGTCTGCGTATGAAATGTTTTGAAAGGGAACTGATAAGCCGACTTTTTGGATGAAAACAGAACAGGGAACGTCAAGCGCATAAACATTTATTTCGAAAGAACAAAGTGTTACCAAGACCTATGGACCAGTCTAATAAATCCAGTCAATAAACCTTTTTATCTTAATTAATTATCTTAGTTAATTATCTTAATAATTTCTGATCTTTACAGGCATTCTTCATCGTCTTTCTAACCCTATTCATCTTGGTTGATTTAACCTTTTGGTTCATCTATAATCTAAAGCAAATTGGAAGGTAAGAGGATTGAAAGGAAATCTAGTAAAGCGAGCTAGCAAGGCTAGTAAAGCTAGCTAGCAAATCTAGTAAAGCGAGCTAGTAAAGCTAGCTAGCAAATCTAGTAAAGCAAGCTAGCAAATCTAGTAAAGCGAGCTAGTAAAGCGAGCTAGCAAATCTAGCAATCAAGTAATGTTTTAGCATATTCGATTCGATCCATACTCCCTTCGACATGTTACATTCATTCATTGGCAACGGAAACACTCTCTTCTATCTCATCTTCTATCCAATCGGCATTTACGCGATTCTCTTCAAAAGACGCAATCTCTTGACGTCTTTCATGATCTTTTTGGTAAGTTTCATGATCTTTTTTGAGTTTTTACAGCTCTGTTCAGCTAATATGTTGAACAGAAATTTACAGACTCAAAAGCTAAACAAAACTAAGCTGAAATTTGACTGAATGAAATGAAATGACTGAAATTTGACTGAAATTTGACAATCAGCTGTTCAATCGGCTATTTCTACAAGAAATACTTTCTATTGTTCTTTCTATTGTTAGTTGCTTCATGTTTCTTCTTCCTCTTCTTCTTCATCATCTTCTTCTTCTTCCTCTTCTTCTTCTTCCTTCTTCTTCTTCCCTCTTCTTCATCATCTTCTTCTTCCTTCTTCTTCCTCTTCTTCTTCTTCTTCTTCCTCTCTTCTTCCTCCTCTTCTTCATCATCTTCTTCTTCTTCCTCTTCTTCTTCTTCTTCCCTCTTCTTCTTCATCCTCTTCTTCTTCCCTCCTTCTTCTTCCTCTTCTTCTCTCTTCTTCTTCTTCATCATCTTCTTCTTCTTCATCATCACCTCCTCTCTTCTTCCTCTACTTCTTCTTCTTCCTCCTCTCTTCCTCCTCCCTCTTCCTCCTCCTCTCTCCTCCTCTCTTCCTCCTCCTCTCTTCTTCTTCTTCTTCTTCTTCATCATTCTTCTTCTTCTTCATCATCTTCTTCTTCCTCTTCTTCTTCTTCTTCTTCTTCTTCTTCTTCTTCTTCTTCTTCTTCCTCTTCTTCTTCTTCCCCTCTTCTTCCTTCTCTCATCATCTTCTTCTTCATCATCTTCTTCTCCTTTCTTCCCCTCTTCTTCTTCCCTCTTCTTCTTCTTCTCTTCCTCTTCTCTTCTTCTTCTTCCTCTCTCCTCTCTTCATCATCTTCTTCTCTCCCTCTTCTTCTTCTTCTCTTCTCTTCTCTTCTCTCTTTCATCTATCTTCTTCTTCCTCCTCTCTTCTTCTTCTTCCCTCTCTTCTTCTTCTCATCATCTTCTTCTTCATCATCTTCTTCTTCTTCCTCTTCTTCTTCTTCTTCTTCTCTTCCTCTCTCTTCTTCTTCTTCTCTTCCTCTTCCCTTCTTCTTCTTCTTCTTCTTCTTCTCTTCTTCTCTCCTTCTCTTCTTCTCTTCTCTTCTTCTTCTTCTTCTTCTTCCTCTTCTTCTTCTTCTTCCTTCTAAGGTGAAGGAACTGTTGATGGCTGCGGCTGCGATTGAGTGGTTCAAACGCTTCAATGATGGTGATTTTGATCTTGAAGAAAAGCTGCATTACGGACCATCTGTTTTCAAGAAAAGTGACCTGCAAGCAGCTTTGGATGCTTTGAACGGCTTGATACTTCGAGCAGATCCAAAACCTTGCTAATTGATGGCAGAAGGTTGTAGAGAATGATGGACTATACTTTGAAATAGTGAATCTTGTTGTTGTTGTTGATTATTTGCGAATAAGAATTGAATTTTTCTGCAAGTAATCGGGAAATTTGTTTAACAACCTAATAGTTTAACAACGTCTATACAAAAGTTGAAGAATGTTTTCTGGATGTAGAAATGGCTGATATTTTGGGAGAATTGAACACAAACTTCTATAAAATTGAAGAAATCGATGATACGTTGAAGAAATCGATGATACAAGCGATGATTTGAATCTTTTCGATGTTGATGTTCCTCTTGATCTTGCAGGCTAATTGTTAACTTTCATAATTGTTATTAATTCTATTTTTGTTAATATTCAATCATGTTATCATCATTTTAAGAGA